CTTCAATCCACTTTTAATGTAAGACCACTAAAATTGAAAACAAAAAACAGTAGCTCATATTATTATTTAAAAGATTAGGTACCTAGTTTTCTTAATCAGGTTAATGTAAATCAAGAAAGATAATAATTGGAAGGTGTAGTTAAGTATTGTTTAGTATTAATACTTAAATCCAATTAATATTATTTGTAATAAAAAAGAAAATGCATGCAGCAAAAATTAAAAGAAAACAATCGTTCCGTAATAACCGTAAAGAGTGTAGCAAATAAACCGTGAAAAGCTAACAGGTATTAAGGCAAAAATTTGATTCATTATTAAAATTGTATTACTTAAGGCGAATATAAAGTGAAAAAGCAATTTGCGGCATCGTATACTCCGGTATTTGTTCAGCCGCAGCCGTCTCGGGTCGACATTTGATGTGCAGTTCAAGGTTGAATTCATTTAAACGACCCACTGTACAACACAATGGTGTATGAATACAAATCAAAGAGATTTACGTTTGAATTGTTACTCACTAACATAGTTTTCATAATTTTAGGTATAAATGTGCCGGGGATTTTAAGGACGGGCCTAATCAAGGAAGTTAAGAAATAGCAGAGCTTCAAAGATGTGTCAACTTGAGATAAACAATTAAATAATATAAGTTAATTTTTAAGCAGCTCCAAAGTGGCGTATAAGCGATTTTGCTTTTCCACTGTGGAATAATATTTGTAACGTTTTACTGCTGCTATATTTGACATTGTTCGAGCCGAAACGATTACAGAAAAAACTACAAATTGCCTAGATACCCCACCATTTGCAATGGTTTTCAACTCAACCTGTAGTAGTCTCCGGGGAGAGTATGCAACCGACATTTTCTATTTTTCTTCTGAATCCTAGTTTAGTGTAATTTTCTATTTAAATGAGTGACAAACAGGTCTCTGTGATGATATGAGGCTGTCATAATGCGGGTAAACCATTATCTTCAAAGTCGACATCGCATGAGTAGAACCCTCGTGCAAATATCCATAGCGACAGTCACCCTACTATTTGGTGGACTGTCAACTCGTTTGCCTGAGTATACATGAAAAATAAATCTACAGCTTAATATAGAGCTTTGCAGAATTAGAAGCTAGGAGAAGCATTCGCCTCCGCCTGCCTTATTCCCTATGCAGAGCTTTCCCAACCTTGTTCTCTGATTAGTGCTGTGTTACAGTATTTTTTTTACTTTCCACTCTTCCGCAATTTGGTTTACTTGTAAATAAAAATATTATCTATTCGGTGAGCAACATTCTTTATATCAATTTTACAACTTCATTCTGTTTTCTTTACCTACACCGATCAGGACACGGCGTGAATTTACGTGTGTTTATGTGATTCCATAACTGCAGATTTGAAATTCTATGCTTGCCAATATGACGTCACTTATGTTGACTCGTGCTATAACTGTTCAAGTACCTATCCTGTTAGTTTCTAGGTTTATTTATTATTCTAATTTCATTGCTTATTGTATTCATTCATGAGGTGCCTTATACAATTCTGTTCAGGTCCATTCCGTTTTTCTATTACCGATTGGAAGAGAGAATTAAGTACCAACTAAGTTGACCCGAATTCCTTAAACCTTTTCTTATAAAATTATTGGCATACATTTTGTTACGTAAATATACCTAGTTAAATAGATTTTTAGCTGTCAAAATTGTTACTTAAATACATGCAATAATTCGCATTGCCCTTCCTACTTAGGGCAAACTCCGATTCTAAACCAGTTTGAGTAAGTAGGTACCAGACGCCTAGCCCCGCCTGTTCCGCGTTCGCTATTATAGTTTATCGGTGTACTGGTGTATCGATACGTGTGCGATTACAAAATCGATATAATTTATTAATCGGGACGGGTGTATGGTACGTTCATCATTTGGCCAACGACCTGAGCCATCTGTTTCTTGCTTTTCACTTTGTAAATTATAGTTTATAACCTTATTAAAATCTAGAACAGCTTTTTTGATATATAACACATTTTTAGGGTTTCTGTAGCCAAATGGAAAAAAACCTAACCCTTATAGATTCGTCATGTCCGTCCGTCTGTCCGTCCGTATGTCACAGCCACTTTTTTCCAAAACTATAAGAACTACACTGTTGAAACTTGGTAAGTAGATGTATTCTGTAAACCGCATTAAGATTTTCACAAAAAAATAGAAAAAAAAACAAGAAATTTTGGGAACCCCATACTTAAAATACTACTTTTTCATCATACCCATACGTGTCTATGGATAGGTCTTCAAAAATAATATTGTGGTTTAAATTTTTTTTTTCTATTTTATTGTAGGAAATTTAGTGCACTTCATAAAAAAGGTAATTTAAATAAAAGTCTTTTAGGGCCTTAATCGCCAATATCTGAAAAAAGGGTCGAAATTTTCGAAGTCACAAACTTGGATTATTTGTTGGGCCGACATGATAAACAAGGCTGCAAAAATTCAAAACTACCGGATTTAACAAACTATCAGGATGACAATTTTACAAGACTAAATAAAGAGTTCTGAAAAAATACAGAATAGACAATGATTCGTAATCGTTGCTAGGTAGGTAGGTACTTACCTAGTTTATTTCTGTTAGTAAAAATATTTTTCATCCCACCACCTCGGAAAGTGTAATTTTGCGCTTCGAAATCTGGCTGGAAAATTCTATTTTATTCGCTTGAGCGGCAAAGTAGATTTGAATTTAGAACATCACATATAATGAGTACTCAATATAATTGTAAATTCAAAACGTCATTAAACCTATTTAATGTAACCTCTATGGTGCCAAATTTATGATTAGAACTTTTTAAATTGTGAAAAAATTTAAATTTGGAACCTTCTTGGTTTCTTTGTTTTATTTGCGTGCTTCGCGCCATTCTAGTTTTTCACGTTTTATTGCTTAATATAATTAACATAACCTAAAAACTGTACAAAAAAATCAACTAAAATGAGTGACATTAGCGACGATGAAGTTTATCTAACGCCAACTGAGTTAACTGAAACAGTTAATAATGCGCAAATGAGCCTTCTCCCTCAGCAATCACGAGAGAAGTATTTGAAACAGTACGATATATTTAACATGTGGCGACTAGCTAAAGGAGCAAAAACTTTCTCCGAAAACGTTTTGCTGGCATATTTTATAGAATTATCTGAGACCAAGAAAGCAAGCACGCTATGGAGTACGTATTCAATGCTAAAATTAACAATTAAGATGAAGAAAGACGTTCATATCGACACCTATCATAAATTAGTGGCATTTTTAAAAAGAGCCTCATCTGGTTATAAACCAAAAAAATCGAAGGTTTTCACAGCATCTGAAATTGCAAAGTTTATTAATGAAGCACCTGATTCCGTATATTTAGCGGCAAAAGTAAGTCAATACGTGTAATTTTTTGTTGTTGATAAAATTGTACATAGTACTTACAATATTTTTAATTTGATTAATTTATTTACGATTATAAATACTTCTTTTGTTACAGGTTGTTCTTATTATTGGTATAACCGGAGCATGTCGAACAAATGAACTTACACTACTTAATGTCAATAACGTATCAAAATATTCTCATAATTCTGATGAATTGCTATTAATTAATGTACTAAATACCAAGACAAAAAAAGACCGCAACTTCGTTATTCGCAAGGAATATGTAAACATTGTTCAGAAATATCAAGCTTTACGTCCTTCTAACACCCCAATTGAACGATTTTTTCTACAATATCGCAACGGAAAGTGTATCCGACAACCTATGGGTCAGAATAAAATTGGCAGTATTCCACGAGAAATAGCAACTTTTCTCGGACTTTTAGAACCCCCGTTATACACCGGTCACTGTTTTAGAAGAACCTCAGCCACACTTTTGGCCGAATCAGGGGCTGATCTTCTATCGCTTAAGCGCCATGGAGGCTGGAAGTCTAATTCGGTTGTAGAGGGATACATAGAGGATTCAATCCAAAGTAAATCAAAAATTTGTAATAGTATCGTGGAGGCCATAACGCTGAAAGAACCTCTGTCAGATTCTTGGTCTCGCCCTTCTACATCTAAAATGAGCCCCCATAAGATTGGAAACAATAGCCCTCTCTCGCCAACATTTACGCCAATAGAATCCAATGAATCGGCACAACTATTTAAAATTACTGATACGAGTAGTTTACCACAAAACAGCGCACAATTCACAAACACCAACATAACATTACCTAACAAAAATATTAAACTTAACATAAGTAACTGTAGCAACGTTACATTTAATATTTCTTAATTATTTTCTACTTCTTATTATTTTCTTCAATTTATAGATTATCTTAATGTGTTTTAATTGAAATAAAAATATTTTGTCATTATAAATTGTTTTCTTTTTCATTTTGTCATTTCCTCGCTGAGGTGGGATGAAAAGTTACGTATTGCACTCGAGTGGAAAGATTTTTCACCTTGTGCTCGTTTGTTTCCCTCGCTGACGCTCAGGATTCTAATTTAGAATCACTCGCTGCGCTCGTGATTCAACTTTAGAATCCTTCGCTTGCTCGGTCATCCAAATCGAGCACGCGGTTAAAAAGGAACTTTCCACTCTTGTATAATAAATAACTAGTGTTGTCTGTAAATTTTCCCCGTAGTAATAATATGCGCAATGGAAAATCCTACTCCCCGTAGTTTAACAACTCAATTAAAACTGCAATCACATTCACTTAGCGCACGCTCCATAATGTTCATTAATAAATTAATCTTACGTTGTAATGCCGTCAACTAAAGTCTTTAAACTTTTTATTCAGTCTATTTATTGGCTATCATGGCCACCGTTAGTATTTTCATGCTGTTGCTAATAAAAAAAATGACTTTGTGTCTTTATTTTCTGATTTTGTAACGATTTATACATTTTCTTAATATGTTGAACACGTTTTTAGATGCATCTCTGCTAATTTCGTAGCTATTGCGTAGTTAGCATTTTCCTTCAGTAAATTTTGCTCAAGCCATAATCTAATGCAATTTAGTTTAACCTTTGTTTAATTTTGTTACAGATTATCTCATCGAGGAGTAACTGAGTGGCTGAACAAGGTCATAGGTGTGTATCCTTACTTAAAGCTTAAATAAGAAAGTATTTTAAGAGAGAGGGCATTGCGGATTTTAGATTCCAATCGGAGCGCTCATCTTAAGTGAGGCGCAAATGTAACTTTTTTTAAATGTCCCATGCTTACTCTCCACTTCGAGCGGCTACAAGCCTCGCTTTGCCACTAACCAGAGGATCAATAGGATAGTTAGAGAGGATAGGAAATTATCAAATAATTATCATTAGGAAATTATCGGGGAATTGTATTTAGGTCGTAAGGTGAGACTGAACTGGAGTTACAGGCTTCTGTGTCACATCCAGCTTATTGCACAACGACGCACGGTGCTCCCACTAACATTTCAGATTTGATATAATAATTTGCTGGGCATAGTTTAAAAAAGTATGCTTACGAATATTAGAAACGTCGGCGTTCTCAGTGTCTCTTAGCCATACTTCTCCATAAAAAAAATATTAACTTTGGTTTGTTTACAATAAATAATTTTCATACAATCTAGCTACCGTAAAACGTGGCAACTTGACCATATTTTGAAGATGTTATTGTACAAATTTTTAACTAGAGATTCATTGAATAAAAATTCAATTTGTATATAAATAAAATTTGAATGCTTCTCACGCACGCTCGGTCATATGTCATATTCACTTTCCCGGTAAAAATATGGTAGCATACCGTCCAGTACAATATGGCGTCGGATTCGTGGCGTCATTACCACTGGCCAGTATACTGATGTATATTTCGGAATACACCCAGTGTTGGCGAAATTATGACGTTTTGAATTTACTGGATGGATCATCGTGTCGCTTGTCAGTTTTGTCACTAAGCAAGGAACGCACCTTGCTTGAAATTGTTGAAATTCTCTGTTACACAGTAGACGTCATCGAACCGAGCGTTTTGACGGTAAATTCAACACCATTAAAAATAAATTCAACTTTAATTGGTTTAATGGAGAAAAAAGACATTAATTAATTTCATTTTATTTTTCTGTTAAATCATTTGTCCCAATCTTTAAATATATGCAGTTTTCAAACATTTGGAAAATACCCTATTGTCTCCGCCTACGATTCCGAGAAGCAGACGTAAAACTTATGCATTCATAAGTACTTGGATGGCGAAAAAACTAGTCTTTCCTCGAGTCTTCAACTTAGTTTGGTCTCAACTTTTGAGTGACTAAGTGAGTGAGGAAATCTTATAAAATCAACTGATATAACAGAAACGTTATAAAGGTTCGTAAAAAGTCCACAAAGCTTATTAACCTATTATTTTATGTTATGAATGAAAATAGCGCTGTTTTGCATTTGATCCGTTAACACCTTAAGTACTTAAATACTAGTATCTACATTTATAGCCCTAATTAACAGCTTAACTGAAGCCACCTTTAGGGAATAAAAAGAGTGATCATTCTTTTGCGTCTTAAACTGCCAATACTTACGGGTAATTAGGTAACCAGTTTTTCTAGTGCTACTGTATGTGTGCATTTTGCTCCATTTATCGCGTACTGCCTGTATACATAGATAGGTAAAATGTCACAATTTTATGGTATACTTTGTCGATATTAAAAAAAAGCTGTTTGGAATGTGCCTTTTCCCCGTCTCCATATCTATAACTTCATTTTATTTATTCTTTTTGAACAATAACTATCATAAAATGTATAAAATATTTATTACTTATGTAAACTTTAGAAATGTGTATGTAGGTATTTAAGTAGCAAAAATAACCTAGACAGTGTTTATTATAACGACTTGCTTACTTTAATGGTAGAGAATTTCTAATTCACGAGATATTTAGACAATTTGCTAATTTACGTCACAAACTACATTTTGAAAACATTCTTATTGCAACATAGTACAATATTCACAATTAGATAGAAGTAAAATAAGTCGAAAAACACGTTTTATGTGCGTCACCAAAACGTGATTTTTCGAAAGACAAACGAGACAAGAGAGAAAAGTGAGACACTAGACCCTTATATTTTTAAACTTTATTTTATAAGTACTAGCGGCCGCCCGCGACTTCTTCCGCGTTTACTTTAGTAAGTTCTTTGAGATTCCCACAGGAACGTTTTATTTTTCCGGGATAAAAAGTAGCCTGTCTCAATCCAGTCCATAACCAAATTTCATCTAAATCTGTTCAGTACTTATAGCGTGATTGAGCCACAAATTTTCACATTTCTAATAGTAGGATTATGTGTTGTACAACCGGCTTCATGAACACGCAATCCGTCAAAATTTTGCAGTAGCTTCCTATTTCCATTAATAGGATGGAGCCCTGTGACAAACAGGCAGCGGAGAAAACATAATAGAGTTCGTTATGTCATCCTTTTGACCCTTTATAACGTTCTTTAGGTAAGCTTATAAAGTGAGAATCATTTTGTTAGAATAAGCCGCTCGGTTATGTATGGCAGTTGCACGGCGCATAGTAGAATACCGGTTCCATTCCACCCACCTACTCCGAGACGGCAAACATTATATCTAGGTGCATGTTTACGTACTTATAAGGTGTAGGTACCTACCTGCCTGATAGCGCAGTTGTATCTGTAATATTCTCCTCAACCAAGTAAAATCGTTATCTGCCTTAGATACCTCCGATGATACTTGAATGGAATTTTTATTTCTTTCTGTACAGCAAAATCTCAACAAATAATTTTTAGTTTCATATAAACACGATTTTTCAAATAATAATTGTGAAACTATTGCAAGTCACGCTGTTCATTTTGACGATAAATTCTAAAAAATAAATTACGGAACTGGTTCGATCAGTATTAAGCATTAATTATCATCTCATTAAAAGCAACACTTTAAAATCAGGTGATGAGTTTGAGTCACCGAATCGGATGGATAGGAAGTGAATTAAACCTGTTCCTTACCAATCAGTAATAACACCATGTATGGCCGCCTTATTATTTAATCGGTCTTTGCGTTTGTCACACGATCGAGATCTCGGACTCGGACAAAGCGGTGAGCTCCTTATTATTGGAGGGCTAGCGTGAAAGCGCCATAGCTTTCTACGTTGCAAGTGGATGGAAAACTTTGACTCTCGTGCCTTCTACACAAAAAGTCAAGTGCGCACAATCTTAAAGGTTAAGGTTTCACGTTGAATTTTTTGATAACTCACATCGATTACACATAAATTACCAACCAATTTAATAAGCGATAGCTAGGTACTTATTTTAACTAGTAGAACTGAATGAAAATTTTACCTACATCTAGATCAGGGAACGAATCACACAAAAATTATTCCTCTACGGAGTAAGGCAAAACTAAAACAAAAGGAGAAGATAAAATATTTGCCGTTGTTTGTATTTGACACCAATCAAACCGTGAATTGAGGCCATGAGAACCATAGTAGCCTAACTTATTTTTTAACCATAGTGGCCTAACTTACTTAGGCCAGTACGGCACCTAAAATTTAGATCACAGACTAAAAACCGTAACAGTGATTATGCTGCCATCTAGTGAATATTCGTTGTATCACTTTTAAACCATTCTGGTTCTATCAAAATGATCGATTTGAACTGGAAAAATTATAAACTCAATATTGTAAAAAAATGAGTTAGAGTTAGACAAAGCGGGTTTTCCACTCGAATTGGAGCACTCATCTGGGGAAGTAACCTCCACTTTAGAGAAGACCATAGTAAAATAGCACCACCTTTTGGTGGTGTTGTGTTTTTGTCGGTGAGTAAGTTCCAGGGCTTCACGTAATAGGGGATTGAGTCAGGGTAGACAACGGCGCGAGCGATATTTTTCATATCGCAAGCGGCTATGGTGGCCGCTTGCCATCAGGCGGGCCATATGCTTGTTTTTCATACTTTTAACATTTAAAAAAATTCAAATAGCAGGCTGCCTAATAGACGATTATCATTAACCTATATTCAAGTTTCTCTATATTAGCATCATAGTAAATAGATACCTAGAACATTAGGAGTTATTTGTCATTGTTATTAGCTATTCACGCTGGATTAATTAGAACAATTCCATGCGTTATTTTTTTAGTTACAATTTTGTTACAATGTAGATATTTTCATGTGTTTTTGGTAGTCTTAGTGCTCTTAGTATTTACTTGGCGATTATTATACTCGTAGCACGTAAAAATAGTTAAGTGCTCAGGAGTAATATTATTATTTTTCCAAGGTAGCAAATTCCCTGTCCCCAAACTTGTGCTGTTATGTTTACGCAGGGCATAGCCAGATCTGTATTTAAGATAGGTCACAGGTAGAAGCAGGTATTGCGTCTCCCCCCCTCCTCCCTCGAATTAGTTCAATCAAATCAACTCGATGTCGATAGTATTCTTTAGGTAGGACATTGACCTATAATGTTTTTATTTATCCTTATGCTGTCACGTTCATAGGAAAGGCTCACGGTACTAAAGTGATGATACTACATTAACAGCCTGATGATGAAGAGTTCCGTAAGCAACGCATGAATTTCAGGTTAATACAATATGTATAAGTTTAAAAACGTACAGATAAAGGATTCATTATCAATATAGATCAAACAAACACCAGATACGCTAATGAAGTTATGTGTGCCTGTCGTAGCGTAAAGATAGAAAAGTGGTCGTGTGTTTCGTCTTTTGGAATCGTGACAAATTAACACACCCATTTAGCTGCTATCATATATCTCCATATCTTACCAATATCTTAATATTTCTCTAGATAGATCATAGCAGATTTTTCTTGCAACTTCTGCCAAAGTTGCACTTCTCTGTGCCTATCAACGCCCGCTTGATAACTTTAGTGTCTTTGGAAAACTATTTTTATTCTTTACAATTCCCATGTGTAAGTAAAAACGTTCTAAAATGATACCTACTTTGCATAACTGTATGGTTTGCTAAAAGAGCGGCTTTTCGCCTTATTATATATTATTAAATTGTTTTTTTTTTTCAGTGTATTCTTTATAACCAATCAGTAGGTTAGAAATTATTGATGTTCTTTCTTTAGTTTTGTCAAGTGACTCGCTTTTTACGCACGTGACTCGAAAGAAATTACTCACTTCGTACCTGCATCAAAAACACAATTTTAAACTACAGTAACCAAGTTTCCCTTTCTGCAAACGATGAACTGAACCTGCATGACATGGCTTTATAATTCTATAAGGATTAAAGAATATCTATAGAAACTTTACGCTCCGCTACTTATAAAATAAACAAAAGAAAACGAAAATATGCGTCTCGAGTCGCGACCAACCTCGTCAGTTGGACAATATGGAGATAAGATTTCACTTGAACAAAACCGTCGTATGTGCGCACGTATTGTTTGTCACGTTGTATGGGCGCACCTAATAATGCAATATTTAAGTATAGCGAAGCGTCATAAGCCCTTAGTAATTTGATAGGTTGTTCATGTCAAAAGAAAACAGATAGTTACCTAAGTACTTACCCTATATCTTCTATGTACATCTTCTTTATATATATAATTCTTCTGTGAGTGTGTATGTCACTGAACTTCTCTTAAACGACTGGACCGATTTTGATGAAATTTTTTGTGTGTGTTCAAGGGGATCTGAGAATGGTTTAGATTCACAAAAACGTGTAGACAGGACAACGTCTGTCGGGTCCGCTAGTACATATATAAAAATCAATTGCTGTTCGTTAGTCTCGCTAAAACTCGAGAACGGCTGAATGGATTTATCTTATCTTGGTCTCGAAATGTTCGTGGAGGTCTAAGGAAGGTTTAAAAGGTGAGAAAAATCTAATTCTACACTACAGCTCTACACGGAAGCGAAGCGAGGGCAGGCCATTAGTAATTAATAATTATAAGATACTAGTGGGTGCCGGTGACTTCGTCTGCGTAGAAAAATTGGTTTCCCTAAAAATTTTCCACCCCCTTTTCACCCCCTAAAAGTAAAAGGATGATTTCGAGGACAAAAACTTAAAAATTGTCCTATGTCCTTTCCCGGGACTCTGAATTTTTCTCAAATTTCATCTAAGTTGGTTTAGCGGTTAAAGCATGAATGAATAGGTAACAGATAAAAAGAAACACATTTAGAAGAGGGACAGTGAAAAAAAAATTGTAAATATAAATCAATATATACAAGACCCAGCAAATTATATGTGCATCATCCTGCTATAAATATCAGGCACTCCTTCCTCGCCAGTCTTACATACCCTTATACCACCTTCTATAAGAAGTGTCTATCACAAAAACAAAGATGAAAATTTTCGATTATCTACGCACGAAAACGGCCGAAGCGTACTTATTACCTTACTGGTCCGTAATGGTATTTTTTTATCAAAAACATCTACTTTTGATATTGTCTAGTTAGGTCCCACTTAAATACTGAAACACCTGTCAAACGACATCCCATATGATAGGGCACACGAAATAAAAAATAACATAGCCACTTGATGTGTTTGGGACATAATTGAGAAAAAAATCAAGATTTTATTTCACTACTTTGTCGGTGTACCTTATATGTATAACCATGCCAAATACGGCTTTTTATAAATTCTGAGCTTTAGCTGCAGACGGGCGAACATTGCGAAAGTTAAAGTAAAGGGTTTCTATTATAGTCGACTCGTAACATAAAAATAGCATACCTACTTATATTAGGTATACTGGGTATATTTAGATTAAAATGTAGCAACTCAGTTATGTACGCACGCAGTTGTTTGCAACGGAAATCAGCCATTTCTAAATCTTGTTTTGTATCCTTTAAAGGCACAACACTTTGTATGTAGGTACAATTGTTTTGTAAGAAATTTAAAAGAGCAAAATGTTGCTCTATTGTTTTAACAAAACTGTTAGTCCTTGCTAACGGTAAGCGGCATTGTTTCGAGAAATTTCATAATTAACGTAACCATTATTTTTCTTTTTCCAGGGTTCGCTACAACGACATGGGGGTGAGGTTCCGGGAGTTATTTCTGCTCCTGGCAGTTTGTGCGCTTTCACTCAGTGAGCCCGTAAACAAAACTGCCAAGAGCTCCACGATCCCTATTTTCACTCAATACGATGACTACGAAGGCGACGAACAGGAGGTGCTCTTCAATGAAGATAGGCCTTGTCCGAGAGATTGCATCTGTACAGTGTTCCAAGGCTACAAGATAGCTAAATGCAACCGCCTCGAACTCGGCACACAAAAATTTGGTGATGATATTACCGATTTGGTCATTGAAAATGCGGATCCCGGACTACCTATCAAACTCACCGATCACATATTCAGAAAAGTGGGTCTCCATCAGATCGCCACAGTGAAAATAGTGAACAGCACAATTGACTATGTCAGCCCAAGAGCTTTCTATGGCCTCTCAGAACTCTACGCAGTAAACTTGGTCAATAACAATTTAAAAGATTTGCACCCGGAAACTTTTGCAACCAACAAAAAATTGTTACTCCTCACTTTATCGCACAATCCACTCAAGTTCCCTGAATCGGGTTCCGATGAGTACTTCCTCAATGCAACTACTGTACAGGAACTCGAGGTGTCCTACTGCAGCATGAAGAACATCTCCGCCAACGTTTTCAAAAATTTATCAGGTCTCATGTACCTAAATGTAGCAGGAAACAACTTAACTGACATTGAACCAGGTACATTCAAAAAACTTCTGGACTTGGAAGAGCTTGATTTAAGTGATAACAACATTAAATCACTCCCTGATGATATTTTCTCTGAAAACAACGAGCTTGCCACGCTCAATATTCAAAGAAACCCCATTGACACTGTATATGGATTACAAATCTCTGATTTATTAACTCTCAACGCTGGCCAAACTAAAATTAAATTCGTGGGACCGTCTATGTTCAACGGTATGACATACATTGCAAATCTTAATCTCAGTGGAAATAAAATGCAACAAATCCACAACCAAGCATTCCATAAGCTTGTCGAGTTAAACTATCTGGATCTGTCTTACAATAACTTGAGTTTTGTCTCCAGTGAACTTATCAAGGAAAATATTGAATTGGACATTTTCAAAATTTCAAACAATCCTCTATTGAGGTATTTGCCCGTAGAAGGATTCAATTGCTCAGCCGAACAATTTAATATTTACCTATTTGATGCCTCTAACTGCGGCCTTGAAGAAATCTACGATAACTCTCTTAAGACGTTTACTGCTTTGTCGGTGATCAATTTATCCGGTAACAACATCAAGACCATAAGCAATAAAGTATTCTCGGTATGCCCAAAATTGGTTGAAATAAATTTAGCTGACAATATGCTTACAACTCTCGACGTTAAAATATTTGAGAAAAATAATGAATTAGGTAAACTCTTTCTTCAAGGCAACCCATTGAAAGTTCTTTCCGCTGAAGTATTCATTCATACTCCATTACTGACCTGGTTAGATATGAGTAATGCTGAATTGACTGCATTATGGAAAACAAACAAAAACCAACCACAAACGTTATTAGCAAACTTAACCTTCTTGAATGTGTCGCAGAATCATATCATTGAAATAAAACAAACTGAATTAGATACATTAAACCATCTCAGGTCTCTTGATATCAGTAATAACCCACTAGTATGTAACCGCGAATTCGAAAATCTTATGACATGGTTGAGCAAACGTAAAGTTTCACCAAACGCCAACACCGCACTTATCGCTAACTTAGCTACTAATCCGAAAGAAGAAGAAGAGACATACAGCTGGGAATTCCTCACGCGTAAAACTTGTGGTGCTTCTAGCGTACACCCAGTCGAACCTTTGCCAGCGGTATCAGATGAGGAAATCTGGGAGAGGATCGATGAAGACGCCCAAGGTAACTTCGATCTAAAGAACACTCTTGACGACGGCAAGTTGGCCGACGACACCAAGGTTAATGATAACAAACTAAACGACGAAATCGTGGACGATCTCGACAAAGACGATGATGATGACGACGAAAATGATGAAGATGAGGACGAGAATGAAGACGACGATGATGCTTCAGAGGACTACGATGACGGTGAAGGCGACGACGTAGATCTCAAACTCAAACTCATTGAGAAGCCCACCATGAAAAAGCCCGTTGCGAAACAAGAAAAAGAGCAAGTGAAAATCGCTATCAAGCTTTTGGAAAACGACAGCGTTTATGACGACCTAGAACCTGAAGTATATGTCCAGGCTTCTGTCGACGAGCAGCAGCATGGAAGGTACGACTATTTGTGGCCAATTTTGATCGCAATCTTCAGCTCTTTATTGCTATTGATTGTGATTGCAAAGGTTGTGATGATAGTGTGCAGTAGGAGAAATAAGCAAATTAGATATAACAGTGCCATAATCGCTGCTATGAGCCAACCAGGTCGCACGAAGAAAGATTGCGGTTTGGTATACCAGCAACTGTCGGAAGACTTGACAGGCCCGGCCACGCCGAAATTGAGCCGCTATCAGCCCCTCCCAAGTGTCACCGTCAATGCCTCCAATATGTCGTATGAAAGCAGTCCTTTCCATCACAGCAACATCGTCCCCGAAGCGGTGTGAGGCACACGGTACAAAATCACATGTTAGAGTTAAAACAAAACTAACAACTGCGTTAACTCTCACATAAGCAGTAAGTGATAGATGGATAGCGCTAGTCACATACAGTATAACACATCTACATTTTACAGTACAGCAGTGCCTTCATACGAATCTTCTCGAACAATATACTACGACCAACGTTTGTATCTAGCGCATCTTGAATATTATAAAGTAACAAAATGAAGTCAAATTACAACAAATTAATTTAAGATATACATATTATTATATATTATACAAATTAGTTCATAGGTTTATTTTATGTACTTAAAATTTTAAAAATTAAAACCATAAAAAGAGATTGTCTTTTATTATTATTGTCTCTGGTAAACAAACTGTGATTAAGCTCATCAATTTCTAGTAAAACCTTATTTCTAGTAATCTTCGGAATTTTACTATTACTCATTAAACTCAAAGAAGCATTTTTACCTTAATTAATGTTAATCCATGTCATTATAGTTAAGTTCCATAGGGTATTATTGCAACTTCAAAATGCAAAGATTGTGTAGGGGCCGTTACTAGCCTGTATTGCCCGTGTTACGTAAATACGTATACAAAAAACTACATATTTGCAGTAGTTATTAGTATGAAAGAAAAATCAAACTTTATAACCAGTTAAAAAATTCATGAAACAAATGGTACAAAATATTTTATTTAAAGGTTACAGTAATTCCATGTGGAACTAGAACATGAAACTGTTGGAAATAAAGGTTTATTTCTAGCTACATTTGTATTTTTTGTTTTTTTATTTACTTAAATTAAACATGAATGCTATAACAATTATGTTCTCATTTTAGTTTTCCATATAAAAAAAAACATTATTCCGGAAAAAGTACCAGGATGCATGTCCATTTATAAGAGATTCTGGTTGGTTATACTATACATAAAATAAAAGGTTCTGGACATGTAGAGTAAAAATATGTTATTCATAACCAGATATTATATAAGACTTTTTTCTCCATTTTCATAACCAGAACCTCTTAAATATGGATCCTGGTACTTTTTTCCGTAATGTTATTTTTTATACGGAAAACTAAAATGGGAACTTTTATGAAGAAAAGTGTGTAAAAATATATAATAGGGTATTTGACAAGTTTTAGAAAACGATCTCACGTTATTTACTAATGTTTATAGAGTCCATAAAAACCTGGATATTCACCATTATGTTGGGTATTTCGGTAAAAAAAACTAAATTAAAAACTCTATTTTCAAGTAGCCGCGAAAAACGTATCTCTGGACAATATGGAGTCTCACTTGTGTGTGACGTCACACGGCTGTCATTATAACGTCAAATCATACAATCTAATGTCACTTGAACCGGAAGTTTACTTGCGTGTGCCGTCATTTTAGGCCCCTTTTTTAGGGGTTAAAAAATGACAAAAAAACATGACGTGATTAATGGACGGCCCCATTACAGCCCGTATTGCCGGCCAGCATCTTTACAGGCACCTATGGTAGTCCAGTTGGCATGTCCTCGTAGCATGAGCACCACAATATACCTTATATCGCGTGAAACTGTCAAACTCCATAGTAATTTAACAATTGAGCGTGATAAAAAGGAGCTATATATAATATCGCGGTGCTTATGCTGATATGGATGGATGGATGGTCCAAGTATAGGCAACGGCATTAACGGCAGACAATATTTTTTTTATATAAAATCGCTACTAGTTCGTTGTCTATTGTTTATACTCAAGATGTTTGCCGGGATGTTTAATAAACAGGATTTCTTTAAAGTAACATATCAATTATACACCCCGGCAAACTTCTTGAGCAACGACCATAGACAACGAAGCCTGCGCAGTAGCTATTTTACATACAAAAACGTCTACTGCGTAAGTTTATTTGACTGTGGTTATGCTTAAGAAGTTATACCGCTACCTATACCTACTTTTATCTGCAATAATAAATTAAAATCAAATTCCAACAAAAATCTTTATATATTGATTCTAAACAATAACAGTTCTCGCTATATTATAATAACAATTTCATTTTATTATATTCCTTATAACTAAAATATACAAAAATAAGAATCTCTTTAAACTTATTTCTTTGGTGGTCAACCAAGTCTTTTATAACTTTTTGATGTCAATATACCGTCAAAGAGTTTTCCAGGAGCATAGATAAATCCTCTTCAGACTGGGGAATAGGAGTCAACTGCAGAAGTCGTTGCTGTAACAATATATGAAAATATTTAGTGAACACTCTTCTAAAATGTGAAACAAAGTGCAAACACTTAAATTTCTAACGCAAGAAAATCCAATGGTGGCTGGTTTAGATAAACCCATACCATATGGTATTGCGAATTTTTTTGTAGATATTGATATCCTCTATAAAACTTTGGTACATCATTTTGCTTTATTGTCAATGAATTCAGCAGCGTTCACGCGATATAAGGTTATTTTTTAGGATTTTATTCATACATTGGGTTACATCATCGAAGTTTTCATACGGAACCCTATCTTTTAAAAAAAAATCTATAGCCTATGGTTATCGGGGATAATATAGGATTCTAAATGTGAAAGAATTAATCAAATCGGCCCAGTAGTGTCGGAGCCTATTCAATACAAACAAACGATGAAATCTTTCCTTTTTGTAATATTAGTATATATTTACAGTATGACGTCATCCAGCTTACATCTAAAATTAGGTAACGAGTCATGGATTAAGCGTTCCTTAAAAGTTAGTGTGAAAGATACGAAGCAACCGGGGAGCATAGTTCGTATGGATATTGACGGTTTTTTTCGCTTTCTCAATACTGCCACTTTCCTTGGCTGTTTGTGTTTCATATTTGTCATTTTGACAGCAGGTTATAAAATGAAAACAATGATAAAATAAGTAGAGAGGATAGGTAATATTGGTCAAGTGATTTAAAGCCAAATGTTTCTCAAACATGGCGTCTACCCCCTCAACAATAATAGTGCTGAACTCACTTTTATCGTTAGCAGTCATACCGATGGAAATTAAAATATCGTAAATTTATGCTTTCGAATATGAAACAAACAATGGTTCCGTCCCGTGATTAATGTCTTCCATGTCTTAATGTTACCTATATATATTACATCCTGCGGTAAATAAGCTTTACAGGTCCAGAAATTACTGAGGTTTTCACCTCAGTCAGCTTTCGCACGAAAGTATGAAGTACGTATAGTAAGCTCAACTATTATCTAAACTATTAAGGTCTCGTAGAAGGTTGGCCGCTTCTAGATGCTTCTCCAGGTCACTGGTTTATTTATGTTGCGCACTTACAAATTTGTACGGAACCCTCGGTGAGCGAACCCAACTTACCTCGCCAAAATCTTCTTGTTCCTTTTTCCATAGACCACTATTTGTAATAAAAATAAACAGATACATAAACTAACCTGTGGCAAAGCGCCTTTAACCAAGCTCGGTACATCATCACTCGAATAACCAAGTTGGCTCAGCCCATTCTCAATCTTCAAAGCTTCCATGTACTTGAGTATAGTATCTGCCAATATTTCTCCTGCGTCTGATTTCTTCTTCCCGGAGATATCTGCTCCTAGAAGGTTGGCTGCTTCCAGATGCTTCTCCGGGTCACTGGCTGCAGTGAAACGAAAGACTGCTGGTGCAGTCACCACTACTGATAGGCCGTGGGGTATTATTGGCGCCGTACTGTGAATAACAGTTTGTTTTGTTGATATCCGACTCATATATTAATGTTAAAATTTAAGGATTTTTGTATATTTATATGTTTGTTAGTCAATCACTAAAACGGGTGAACGAATTTGGATGAAATTTCGAATACATATAGTTCAGGCACTTTATTATTTATTTGTCAGGCATCCTAATCCCATAGAAATGTGTACCTTATTGTCTAACATAAATAATAAATATAAAACATAAAATTCAAAATTTTAAGTAACTCGTTTAGTCGGCGACTTGTGGCGCGGAGTGGTGTCAGGTAGCCTGCCTTTGAAACGCCGGAACACCACACCTTTCGGCCGAAGCTCCTCTTTCAAAGAGGTCGCCAGATGTTCAGTCGGCAGTCTCACCACAAATGAATTAAAATTCACGTCGTGGCGAGACTCCAACCGCGCGACCCTCAGGGAGAAATTGGTCTTCGTAAATATTCTACCGAAGCACACGACGGCTATTGCCGTGTGTCACAAATAATAAATTCTCACAGCATAGTGGCGCACGTCCGTTTCCAAGCTCATCGCACTGAACTGTGCACTGTCAGTCCCGGCTACAACTGCAGTCGATGACACTGGACTTGCCTCGCGGTCATAGCATTTTCCCTAATTCATCCATTATAGGCCTGTACTGTGCCCCAAAAATGGGGACTCTATTAGATTAGATAGATTAAATAGATAGATATTTTCCATAAAATGTCTATACCAACCCATAGTCTTTGGCGACGAAACTTTTAACGTTTCCCGCTATAGGGTACGCTAGACCATGGCAAAGATGGACGCCGGCGTTGCCGATACCCACACCCGCCATAGTGGAGGCCAAATGCATGCTGGAACGAGCCTCTATGTCGTCCGCTTTGTACACCGAACGGGTGAAGTACTTTTGAATGGTCTGTAATATAATTAGAGATTTATAATATTTCGTTTTTTTCCTGCCCCCACACTCACACCGCAAAGTAAGCACTGTAAAGCTTGTTTTTTGGGGTGCTAGGGTAAACGATAGAATAAATAGATAAACTAGCTGTCCCAGTGAACTTCGTACCACCATAAAAAATAGGGGTTGGTGGTAGAAGGGTGAAAATTTAGGGTTGTATGTATTTTTGTATGATGTATCATAAAAAAATAAATACAAAAAAAAATGTCCAAAAAAAATTTTTTGTGGACCAACCTAAACATTTAGGAGGACGAAAAATATATGTTGTCCGATTCTCAGACCTACTGAATATGCATATTAAATTTCACTAAAATCGGTCGAGTCGTTTCGGTGTAGTTCAATTACGTACACCGTGACACAAGAATTTTACATATAAGATATATATAAAGATCCATAACTAAGGTACAAATGTACGAGCATTTCATTATTTTCATCATTTTCATTTCCCCCCACCGGGATTCGAACGCGAGACCTATGAGTAGGCGACGCCATGAAACCCGGCATATATACCACTCGGTGGCGGAAGTCGTACACACTTGTAATGCTAGTACTTCACTTGGATATTCGTATTTGCTATTTGTCATTTCGAAAGAAGGTTGTCTTTATCATACTTTATAGGGAGTGAAAAGGAGTGACTGTTGTCAAATTTACAAATAGCAAAGCCGAATAGCCATGTGAAGTGCAGAAATAAGATTGAACACACAATAACGACATCCTCTGTTGATAAAATACGACGACCTCCGTGGTCGAGTGGTTTGTACGCCGGGTTTCATGGTGTCGCCGACTCTAGAGGTCCCGGGTTCGAATCCCGGTGGGGGCAGATGTTTGTGTGAATACGAGCATTTGTACTCCAGTCATGAATATTTAATATGTATTTCTATATAAATATACTTATATATGTACTGTATATGTATTCTATCCGTTACCTTATTATCTCATAACACAAGCCTTACAGTGCTTACTTTGGGGCTAGGCTAAATGGCGTGAGTGTTGGAAATATTTATTATTTATTTGTTACTTAAAATAGTTTTTAATGTTGAGTAAATAAAAAAAAATGATTTGGAGATAGGCCACAATGTTTTAGAGATTTAGAGCATAGATAGTTAGATAGTTGTCCGATCCAATCCGAGCCGTCGTCTACGCAAGTAACCTCCATTTCACAGCAGACCACAGTGAAATAGTATGTTTTGATAGTATCATATCTCTGTCACTGAGTTAGTCTTTTAGGGCTGCACGGGGTAGAGGATGGATCAGGATAAACAATGGATGAAAATATTATAGTTTTACAGCAAAAACCTGAATTATATTTTGACTAAAACTGATTTTTTAATAAACAAAAGTGAAAGTCTCAGCAACATGTAAATTCTTATTATTTATATGTTATTGCGACATCCAGCACATTACTGATATTCTAATTGACATAATTACCTGTAAACAGAATCTTGCCCACGCATCTGATATAGGATTGCTTCCCTGGTATGTCGGTCTCAATGCAGGGTTAGGTGGCGCTGGACCTCTTTCGTTGTATGGGATAGCAGTGAAGCTTTCGAGGGCATGGCAGAACACATCGAACCCGGAGTAATTAGCCACAGTCTCTGGTAACGTGAGAGTGTGCAGCGGATCTATGATAGCTAAATGCGGCCGCAATGCTGTATGAGATATGCCAGTCTTGGCGTGGATCTCTTCAAAGTCGAATATACAAGTGCCTGTTGTTTCGCTTCCTGTTCCACTTGTGGTCGGTACTGAAATGGTGAAAAATATTTCATTTATTAATTCATTACGCTAAAAGAAACGTACAGCACATAGGTAATAAGTCAGACAATAACCAAATTTTCTAATTTGTTATTTGTAACTAATACCAAAACTACTTTTACGATATAACTGCTCCTTAAACTACAAGGCACACTTTATGTATATAGTCACAAGTATTAAGGCGGAAACAGACAATTGAAACGCGACGCGTGTTTAGTCAAATCATATATCCTTTTTTCTGTGATCAAAATCACATTAAGAACATCCGACGCGACGTGATGCGCGCTCTCGCCACTAGATCCAAATCTATCCAGATCGACGTGTTGGCAGTGTTTCCTGGAAACACCCGACGCCACGCATAATTTTCACCAAAAGTACTTCTCTTTGCATTCATTTCATGCACTCAGTAACAACTCTTTCTTCTGTTCTCATATTATACACCCACAATTTACATAAAATCCTCTTAAAAATATTCATCACACTCATTATTTATTAAGTCCACACTGCTGTCCTAGTATATAATGCAGTAAGAGGTCTACTTTAGACTTTAGTTTAATTAAAACTAAGTGTCAAACCATGTCTGAGCTCTTACTGCATTATTCATAAATTTGTTTTCGTTTCATGGCATCGCTTCACGTTTCATTAGTCTGTTTCTGCCATTATTGGGTTTATCGTAGAGAGTTTACAAATGATGTAAAGTTTCATAAGCACTTTTCTGCATTATTTAAGTCAATGAGATATCAATACGAAAAGTAACCAAACCACTAAATGTGAGAGATTGTTCCATCTATGTATGAAAATACATTCTTGGTAAATAGTGAACATTCCTACTAAGGACCAGTCTGAAAATAACAAAACCCAAAGAACTATTGAATATTGATTATTTAGCAGAACACAAAGTTTAGTCAACTGAAGTTTTAATGGAACATTTACTCGCAATCATAGGCTTCAATTGTACAAAAACAGGTTTCCCTTTCCCAATGGGTGCATTCACATAGTCTAGAAAATCTGCCTCTGGGTCGCAGTAATATAGATTTGCTGCTTTGCAAGTATCCATCACGGATCCCCCACCTACAGCAACAAAACTGTCAAAATTGCCATTCTTGGCAAACACTACTGCATCTTTGAAGCTGTAACAATATTTTTAGAAAATTTATTTATTTTCATACAAGAAAACATAAAATCACCTTTATAATAAAAACATGAATTATATTTGTTTGTACTATGAGTAATATATAATTCAGCAAAATCTAAAACTTACCTTGTATCAGTTGGTTCAACACGAACTTTATCATATACTTGATAATTAATTCCATTCTTAGTTAAGGAATCCAGAACTGCCTTCACAGGATTCAATGACACCAGATTTGAATCTGTCATTACACATACATTCTTAGCTCCAAAATTTGGTAAAACTGTACTTCCAGGGCCCAAAAGGAGATACTTGTTTTTTTTGTAGAAAAGGTCTTTTTACCAGTTTTTTTTTTCTGGCGCTTCGCCGGCCGCTGCCGCGGCACGCTCGCTTTGCTCGCTCGGCTCGCGCGTTATGGTCACAACACTAACCTAACCTAACCTAGTGTGAAGTATCACCACTTGATAAGAAAAGTAAAAAATTTCAATATTTTTTTCTAAAAAACTACCAGTGCATAAGTGTGACATTTTTTTAATAATGTGGTTAACAGAAACCTTTTTAACAACAAAAATGCGAAATTACAACCAACAAAACTGTGAAGTTTTTACTTTTGGGCCCTGGAAGTACAGTATATCCCAAAATTTACTAGGTCCATTCCCACCTCCCTTGTAACACCCAAGCCATATCTGACTGTAGAATTTTTTATCTGAAAGTAAGTTCAAAATAATCAAATACAGTAGTACCTTTTCTTTTGTACATTTTTTTTTCTGAATATGATGATAACAAGTAAAGTTTTTATTCTTATTCCTAAATCAATGTAATTAAAATTATGGATTAAATTACCTAATATACAAAGTTAAAATATATAATTAAATTAGAAAATTTATCTATTTTTAACTTTATATAAAGGGTAATTTGAGACTGAGACCCGTATTACAGAATGACAACTAAAGTGTTCTTCTTTCTCTCTCTACTTGAGTACAGTTAAAAAGGGATGTAGTTATGTGCTTTAAATAGCGACATTTCTTTCTAACTATGCTCAAGACTAATTTAATGAATGAGAATCTTTATATAATACGGGCCTAAAATATAGATAAGTGGACATCCAGTTGGATGACTGTAATTTTATGGCAGAAAGATTGTATTTATTATAAATAAGTACTTCTGGAAAGTTTCAAAGAGTGAAACCTCTTAGTTTTTTTTAACATCTACTAATCAGTATTTGAACCTTTTTTAATCCTGGATTATATTTTCTCATCTGAATAAAATAATTAGTAAAATAACATGTAACTGATAAATGCTTTAAAAATCCAAAAATGTAAAAACAAGTAAGTTTTAGAAATTGTCTCTGTTTTGTATGTATGACTGTAAGAAGTATAAAGGTGTACATGTATTGAATTTAGGAACTCACTTCAAATGCATAGTCTTTTAGCGGTGTATCATTTGTCACATGAATATTACCTCTGTACCCATGGGCAGGACATTGACATCTAAAAGAAATGTATTCTTAATAAATAAATGTTCAACCAAAGAACTCAAAATTTTCATAAATTACAAGGAAAGAGACCTAAATTTTTATTAGTTGTTAAAATTTTTAACAACATTAAACAAACATTTTTTTTTTGGATTCAGTCTTTACCTTAGGGATTAGATAGGGACAGGATCAAAGCCCTAATATGAGGTTACAATATGAGGTCGTAAACATTATCTCCAGGATTAATTGAAAGTAAATACTTACGATGCTACATTGATAGTCCGTAACAAATCAAATACCCTCTTCCGTGAAGCCATGCTCAAAGTCCAAAGTATTAGACGAGTTGCGAGTATAATATATAATAATCTTGTTATTTACTTTACTATGCCTTTGGATATTCTTATCATGTTTACAAAATTATGACACGATTATCTTAACAGCCGTGCTTAACAGTCACAGATCCATAACTAGAATCACTCGAATATCATTATGATTCAATGCCAGCACTCGAGCCGAGCAGACAATACACAGTATTACAGGGAACCCGCATAGCATAAATTAATATGTCGAAAGGTCAATCAACAAAAATTAAAAACGCTATAGTTTCTCTGTCTACGCGCAAATACAAAAATCTAAAGGCGCTATCCCACGACCTAAGTGGTCGCGGACGAGGCCGCGCGAGGTTGCCAAACGTATGAGAACTCTAACGTTCGAGATTTAACATTCTGTTTACATGATACGAGGTATATGAATAGAAATCTAGTACACTTTGTGATGGCATAATGAAGCTGCACTGAGTCGATCCTTTGTGGACTGGACATTTATTTACTCTCTGATAATATTTTTGGTTTGTGTACATGACACAAACAGTCATCTCATATCAAAGTGTACAAGATTTGTGTTTAACCCCTATCATGTATAAAAACTGCTAAATCTCGAATCTTAGACTTCTCATTCATTTGGCAAACCGGCGAATCCGCCCGCACCGCGCCGCGACAACACAAGTCGTGGGAGAGCGAGACAAGGCAAAGAAAAAAATACTTTATACAGCCTCGTCGTCAGTGAAATTCATATTTTTAGATTTTTAGTGAAGGCCACGGGCTACGCCTAAAGTATCATATACATTCTGTGTACTAAGTATCGGGAATTCATTAATATAACAAAAAAATACAAATTATTCGTCTAAATTTAATTTATCGCCTTCAAAGTAGGCCCCATTTGCAATACAACATCTCCACCGCTTCACTCAGTCCTCCATGCATTTTTCGTAGTCTACTTGCGGTATGGTCTTTAGCTCATGCAGCGAATTTTCTTTTATGGCTTCTATCGACTCAATACGTTTTCCTCTAAGTGGTAATTTTAAATTGGGAAATAAAAAAAAGTCAGACGGAGCCATATCAGGTAAATACGGTGCTTGGTCGAGAATTTTTGTCAAATTTTTCGAAATTCTTGATATGCTTTCGGTGCATTTTTTAAACAAATTGATCTCTTTTTTTATCTAGTCGAGCAGCTACGCGTTGCATGCCTAAAATGTCAATGAGAATGTTGTGGACGGACTTAAAAGATATGTTCACTTCACTAGTCAACTCTCTTAGACACATACGTCGATTTTTGAGCACTAGCGTCTTGATTCTGTCGATATTTTCTTTGGTCGTAGCAGTTGAAGGTCTACCAAATCTACTACTACTTCTCGGCCTTCTTTAAAAGTCTTATACCATTCATATGCCCTTGTTATTGATATGCACGATTCGCCGTAGATTTTTTGCAACATTTTTAGCGATTCACCACATGAAATCTCATTCGAAACACATAATGTAAGGCAGACTCTTTGTTCAACAATATTTTCCATTGTAAAGGTACAGTTCCGCAATGGGCTGCAGACTGCGACCGCAGGCGACACTGCGGCTAGTGCCTGCGGTTAACCGCAGTGCTGCCTGCGGTTCCAACAGCAGCTTCCGAATTCCGAGCGCAGCGGCATGCCGTGGCTGCACAATGCATAGAACCATGCCTCTGTCACTCCAATACCTTTGTACGAGACAGAATGTCGGACAACGCCACCGATAATTTACAAATGTGTCTTTTGTTAGAAGAGGAAGATGATGACGACTTGTTGGTACTAGATTATGTAAAAAAAAATAGAACTCGTGATCTTTTATTTAAGTCGAACCGAAGAAGGAATTTATAGTAATCTGATAAAATTATATATAATTGGTGCAGAGAAAAATTTTCGGTTGTATTGTCGTTTATATAAAAAAACAATTTGACTTTGTGCTCAGTTTTATTAGTGAAGAAGTCCAACCGAAAAAGCGACACGCTATTACAGCGGAGGATAAATGATATCTAACTTTAAGTATACATACTCAAAACACTCTTCATTCATTACATGACCTTGATTCGCCTGAGTAGACAAATCCGTGGGCCCTGGTGATTAGGCTTCGGTACTTTTTTTTTAAATACGTGTGACCTCTCTGCGGTTCGCGACACCACTGGAACTGCAGTCTGCGGTCACTGAACGCCACAGCTGCAGTCTGCTCGCCGCGGCTGCAGGCCGCAATTATGCCGCGCGCGGAATAAATTTCATAGAAATTCATAGAAATTAGTAGTGTCGCCTGAGGTCTGCGGTTCAGTTTGGACTTGTACCTTAAAAATCACCGGGGATTCAAAACTATGACCAACAAAAAGTGCAGTTTTAAATAAATTAAATGACAGAAATACATCTACCAAACAAGCAATAAAAAAATAAAAACGACCTCTTTTACGCGGGTCTTTTTATTGACATATTCCAGATACAAGAACCGGTAGTTTTCCAATTACAGCACTAGAGCGCATTATGCGGCATAATGCTTATCGTTGAATGTTTCAACTACAGCAACGCTTCGCACAATCGAGCACTCTCAAAAGTAAAGTTTTCGTGTGATGCGTACAATCGTACCAACTCAGTGACCTAGTGTTTTTTCTTTGAGTTGGCATTGATCGAGATGTTTTGTTTATATGGCTGTCTTATTTATTGTAGAAAAAAATTTAAAGATTTCGTTTCACTGTAGTTTTTTTAAATAATTTAAGTTGATTCAAACTGTGTTAAAAAAATAAATATAAGTATGGATGAAAGTACAAACATTGCTTTTTTTTTCAACACTGAACTTAGCGCACTCTGCCGGTGCATTTGAAAACTAATTCACGTTCCAATTAAGCATCAGCATAATTCGGCATTGTGCGCCACTGAGTCGCATTATGCTCTGTCAGAAATCAGAAATCAATATATCTTTATTCAAATTGGATGTATAGTACAACTCTTTTGAATCGTCCAAAAATTTTTTTTCCCTACCACTCGTTATGGACATATTTTTTAGCTGCGGAGAAAAACGAGCGAAAAAAACTCCACAACATTAAAAGTCTAATGTAACAACATTTACAAATCATTATGTTGTTACAACGTCAATACAATTATGATTAATTTAATATAGAAAACCTGTTGGAATGATTGGAACAGTTCAAACCCAAGCATTTTTGTCTGTAATATAATCAGACACTTTGTAATAAGCTTTTTTAATAAGTGTTTTTTTTATAATATCTTTAAATTTATTTATGGCTAACTCTTGGATATTGCTTCGGACTTTATTGTATAAGCGAACACAAAGACCTTTAAATGAATTATTAATTTTGTGAAGCCTAGTAGCAGGTAAAGTTAGTTTATTTTTGTTTCTTGTATCAATTGTGTGAACATCACTGTTTTTAAGAAACAAATTAATATTTTTTCTTACAAGTAATAAATTTTCGTATATGTATTGTGATGCGACCGTCATTATTCCAAATTCTTTAAACTTATCTCTTAATTGGTTTTCTGTAATTGGAAAACCACCACCGACTCCAATTGTTCTTTTGCAGATTTATTATGACTTATTACCTATTTAATATTTACCTTCTCCGACTCCAATTTTCTCTCTTTTAGTCACTCCACAAACTAAAAAAAAAACAATATAAATGTTCTTTAAACGAAAGATAAAAACAAGTTCAACAACAAAGTAACAAGTTCGGTCGTGCATGGAGTATTGTTTGCACCTCTGGGATGGATCGGCTAAGTACCAACTTGAGGCGTTGGAGGCAATTGAGAAACGAGCGATAAAGCTCATTGGAAATGACGCGCTTTGCCGGGCAAAGTTACAAAGCCTGGAACACCGACGCAAAGTTGCCAGTCTTTCGGTGTTCTATCGGTTACATTTCGGTGAATGCGCAGAGGAATTACATGAGCTAATTCCTCCCGCCCCTTTCTTCTACCGGACGAGCAGGGAAACGGCAAGGCGACACCAATTCACGGTGGCAGTTCCAAAGACTCGCACTAAGCTATAATATTAATATTAATGAATGTGACCTGCTGATGCGTTAGTTTCAATTAATTTTATTGTTTTTATTAATTTAATTTTTTATTTTATTGTAATGTATAATTTATATTTTATTTATAATTTTAAATAATGTGACCTGCTGATGTGTTATTTTCAATTAATGTTATTGTAACTATTTATTGTAATGTATAATTTGTATTTTATTTATAAATTGAATTAATGAGACCTGCTGATGCGTTGGAACTAGTTCTGTAAATCAGCATGTTTATTGAATAAATAAATAAGCGATTCGCTTCTAGCTTCATCGTGCGGACTGCCAAACTGTGGAATTCCTTGCCTGAGCCCTTGTTCCCCGAGCACTACAATCTAGCGGTCTTCAAAGCAAGAGTGAACCGGTTTTTATTAGGTAAGCGCGCTCCATCGTAGACCATAATATTGCTTTCCGCTAGGCGAATTATGGTCAAGCGCTTACCTATTACCGAATAAAAAAAAAAAGATTCTCGCATGACATTTTTGAATGACGTGTTAAAAGGATGTCAGATCAAGTTTTTCTGCTGTGACCAGATTATTGACTCTGTAAAGGTATCGTGGTTCGACTTTACCTACTATTATACTTGAATTCCTGAGAAAAATATTAAATATCCCGACTTTGTTTAATGGAGAGGAAATTAAAAACAAAGTAGACATCAAAGACATTTGATGTATTGATAAATTCATACAGATTTTCATTCACATACAATACACAATAGAAAAAACTATATCAACTACAACTTCATAAAGAATAAAACATCTTACACGCTATTAGCATCATTTGGTTACATAACTTTTTTATAAGTAACATACTGACAGGCTAAAATGGCATTAAAATATCTCATCACAATTAGATTCCCACAATATATTATATTAAATAAATATGTTCTGTTTGAATACTGCTACAGAAAAGTTCAAACTCATTTAATATGTCTGCTTGCACTTTTCTGAACAACACTTCATAGTTACAATAAATTAAGGTTTTACTATTACAAAAACTATTTACAAAATTATAGCATAGTACTAAAAATACTACATACGGTATTTTCTCATGGCAAATCAGCAATCAAACATACACAAACACAGCTGAAATCTATTTTATCGACAGACTTTTTGATAAACTATGTGAATCAGAAAATGAGCTTTATTTGCTATTTAAACATCAGTTTTATACTAATTGGAGCAAAATTGAAGTGAATATTTATCATGAGCAATAGTCTAATAGACCGCAACTAATCTATTTATGGCAACGCACGCATATACAGGTAACTTTATAGTTAATACACACTAACAGCTTATAAAGTATATGGGGTCTTTAACGAACGAATATACAGAAAACTTATTCAAACAGTTGGGAATGTGAAAATAACGGTTTGTTATCTATAATATTATTATGTACAAAGCTTGAGTATATTAAGTAATTTATATTAGTTATTGACAGTGGCGACTAACATCTGCCGAATTTTACTCAAACTCAAGATTTTTAGTGATGCTTCGATTTTTTTTAATTCAGATATTAATATGTAAATATTAATAAAAAATGCAAAGGCCGCCACTGCTTTATTATTCAAATATGGTTGATACTAAAGATGACTCTAGTCTACAAATATTGCATACCTTATTGGAATTCGTCTAACAAACATGGAAAATGTTAAAATTTAACAGATATTAACAAGATTCAAAGTTCCGAATCCCGAGTGAGTTAACGTGTCGAGAGATTTTCCTAATTCCGTTGCATCGTGATAGTAATTTACTCTTTGGTCCATAACGAAGGAACTAGAAATGGGATAAGTTGTCTGTGACCAACTTATAGCGCTTAGTTTTGCTAATGCAAAAATGATTATTGGTTCTATTTGAATAGTCGACATGTGAACTCGCTCAGAGAATTATAACCTCTATAGACAGCATGCACCAACAATCTAAGACACCTCAATATCAACTACGAGAACAAACTAGACAACAAACAGCCTCTGGTCCGATAGTTTGTCGCTGATATATCATCTTCTCTTCTACTGATCACATATATATTTGGCAAATTGCTATTTTACGACGTATAATATAATTTCACATTTATGGCCCTACCTTGATCAAATATTTTGTACGAGCAAGACAGCCAATCGGCCGAAACTACAGAGCTACTACAAGAATACACACGTCCATTCATGGATTGGGTGGATGGCTTTAATAACTAAATACATAACACAAAACCTACAAGTTTCTATTTGTAATAAGAGTGGAGGAGATTACAAATGTCTGTGAGGAAATACATGTTTCTTAAAAATGACACCGTTCGATATAATGGTATCTAATGCATTTCAAACTGCTTTAATTAATTATTAACAACATTCATATAATTTAACATTCGAAGACAAATTTTATGGTTCCATAATCTACATTGGATTCACGCCAGTAAAACAACTAATGTTTTACTGACGTGAATCCAATGTCTCATCCGAGAGGGATCTCACATTGCTGTAACTGTAGAAATAAATTGTTGTCGATTGGTTTCTTTACTGGCGTAAGTTATAGAAGCAGCATTTAACTATGAATGCATTGCAAATCTGCAATACTTATACTGGGGTTTTTATTAGAATGTAGCGAATAAGTATAGTATAGACACGAGAGACCAATATTATAACCTTGAATATTTATAATTAAGTCCCTTTTAAACTGACCTTATTCTCTATCGACTAAAACACATACAAGAAAAACTTCTCCCGTAGAGAGTCCTAGCTGTAGTTTTCAAACACAAATAAAAGTAACCCCGATAAATATTAAAGTTATGAATTAAGTTGAGTAGAAAACTGAGTAAAGCCTCCTGCGCATTGGCGTGTTATTAACGGTCTATAAAATCGTATGCGTATTGCGTTATTTCGCCCTACTTCTATTGCGTCGTTATTATCGCAGCAGCGTGTAATTTCGTAGCCGTCTTAATACATAATATACTTAAAACAGATATCGCAATAACGCATCCGATATTATCGACTGATAATAGCGCGCCTATGGTGGTAGGCCTGATACTGTTATCGAATGATGACATATATATAGGGGATGGCGAAAATCTGAAGAATTTACTTCAATTTAGAGAACCAATGCTATTTTAGAAGTAATATAAAAATATTACCTGAGCGCAAGTCTATTTGATTTTTTGAACAGTTTAACAGCCGTACTCAGAGCCTTCAAATAAACTTAATTAGTTTAATTTAAAGTCACGTGTACCTACTCTGACTCTAACACATACATAACCTAAATCGAACTTTATTAATTAACGTGTCTGAGTATGCTGTTAGTTAAGTAAATTTCTACTAAATAAGTATTACGATCTCTAAAAAGAGTGAGCTGTCACCTAGAAAAGCTTTCTATGCGAGTACTAAACAGAGATAAGGTGATTGAATTTAAAAAAATCCGAGTCCGGACGGATCGGCTACTGGCACAATATTACAATTGGTGTCATAAATTCGTAGCAATACTACATCTGTAAATACAATAATATATTTTGATAATTCGCCGTAAGAAACTAACAATTCATAAGCGCAACAAACATGATATATCACGTGCCATTAAAGAAACAAATCGAAAATGCCGCCGCGAGTCATTCTGTCTCTCTCGCATAATACTAAGGACAGCATGCGCGAGAGCAACAGAATGTCTTACGTCGTCATATGCGATTAGTTTTTTTGGCGCCATTTTTACCAACTAACATTATTTGTTACTAAACCAATACCCAATATTGTTTATTCAAAAATGGAATGGTTAAAATTTATGAGTATTAAAATCTTCCTGTATACGAACAAATATTATAAATCGGTATTTACAAATATTATCTATCACATTCAACGGTAATAAATTGTAGGGCTTTGAATTTAAATCTTATATTTAAGCCCTAACTGTGCAAATTTGCGATGATAAGTTGGCGTGTATTGTCAAACAAATTACTTAACAGTTGAACAACTTTTGTTTGGGAGTCGCTCAAGTACTTCTATAAAAGGAAACGTTGGTAATACAATCTGTTAATACTGTATACTGAATATGTATTATCAAATACTATAAGTAAATAAGCTCATGGGCTCCGATTGAACCCCGAAAGCTTAGGCCAAATAAACCTTGTTTGGCATTGAAAGTCTCGCCAATTTGGGTGGTGAACACAGACCAGCAATCAGACTCAATTTCACAATCCAAAAAACCATCTAAGATTTACCTTAGAAATCTGGGCAACCACGCCCGATACATATCAACGCGCAAAAAATATTACTCAAGTTTTAAAGTTCCGTGTACTGAGATCGAGTTTCAATTTACTTGCAATCATTAAGACCTCAAGTCATCCTCATTTAATATACAATTATTATGATTCATCATACAAAACTCACATCCCCTTTTTAATAAACGAAATATGAGCTTATACTGGAGGCCTACTCTATTTCGACGAAAAACGAAATTTCGCACGTTTCTTACTGTTTCTTTTTCATTTCGAAAATTCGTTCGTCCGCAAATAGTTTGACAGTTAAATTCTCCAAGCCTCACAATACTTTCGAACGAAAAGTTGAATTTGACAGATAGTTGTTCGAAATTTTAACCTCAAATTGACGAAATGAAAAGTGTAGCTCAAGGAACATTTTAAAGCATGTAAAATTAACATATAAACGATTTTTTTATTAATTATTGTATTTCCAATACTACAAAGTATTAAATGACAAATTTAGGTTGACATGCAATCGATTTTTTCAACTCTACAAATTAGTTGTCTAACACTGCCAAAAAAGGTTCTTTTAATGTCATAAAAAATTTTGTTATAAAGTAATATTGTTTCCGAGTAAAAACGTAATTCAAAAGATTGAACACAAAAAGAACTCAAAAACATGACTAATTCCATTCGTTCACGAAACAAAAATTGTTTGTGATTCCGAACTTAATGTCCCTGTTTCAAAATAAAATAGAGTAGAGTAACTGGCGAAATTTCGTTTAAAATTCTTTCGTTACCGAAATTTCGTTTCGGAGAAAGAGAGTAGAGCTCCTGGTTATGCAGTGTTTAGGTTCTTTTCATCGAACTACAAATGTCATTTGGATGATGTGAACAAGATATTGCGTAACTAGTCCAAGCTTATTTTTCATATATTAAGCACAGTGTACAACATTTTTTTTTTACATATGTATAATGATACAAAGAATACACTGTTCACTCAATGCACTACTATATACTCAAAGTGCACGTGGTTTATTACAAACAAACTTCACAGTGTACACGCATGATGTATTAGATAGTGTTGTATTCAGTGTACATTAAAACATTAAAACTATTAGGGCAACAAACAATTCAAACTACGGTCGGTGGTAAACTGAAACACTGAAATGAGGTTCGGTGATGTAGATTTATATGAAACACCTGCTGAGTTCATTGAACGCCATTCCGTGTGTGCGCAGTATCGCCGTCCTAATCTGGCAGCATGTGTACGAAAGAGACGGGGAACATACCCTCATCTGGCACTCCATCCATTAATTTATTAATCACATTGTACACATGTAGTTATTATTACACACATAACAATATATCTAGCTGTTTATTCGTATTTGACAGTGATGTATTCAGCGTACACGAAAACATTACAGCTCTTTCCGGCAACGTACAATCAAATTACGTTAGGTAATGATTATTTGAAACACGTAGGTTGAGGAAACTTGCTGAGGTCATAGAACGCCATCCCGTCGGTGCGCAGTATCGCCGTCCTAGTCTGGCAGCATGTGTACGAAAGAGACGGGGAACATACCCTCATCTGGCACTCCATCCATTGTAGATAGTATTACATACATATATACGCTGTTTATTCGTATTTGTCAGTGTTGTATTCAGCGTACACGAAAACATTACAACTCTTTCCGGCAACGCACAATCAAATTACGTTAGGTGATGTTTATTTGAAACACGGAGGTTGAGGAAGCTTGCTGAGGTCATTGAACGCCATCCCGTTGGTGCGCAGTATCGCCGTCCTAGTCTGGCAGCATGTGTACGAAAGAGACGGGAAACATACCGCGGCGTGGGGTGCCTTCAACCTGGCCTTCCATCCAGTTGTCGTCTTCGGTGCGTTCGTTGATAACGACGATAACTTCGCCTTCGCGGAACGATAGTTCGTCCTCGTTGTCGGCGGAACAGTCATAAAGGGCTCGACATCTCCTTAGACCGCCCATCTGGTGAAGAAGACAATTGAAAACATTTAATTTTATAACGAGTTATTTGTAGCGGCAAAATAAACTTGGGCAGTAGACGCTTTTGTATGTAAAATGACTACAGCGCAGGCTCCGTTGTATGTGGCATAGCTTAAAATGTTTGCAGCTACGTGTCGTCTCCGACAAAAATATTTAAATAATACTAATCTACCGCCTGCAGCGCCATCTATTAGGTAGAGTTGCAATAAGTTATTTAATTTTTACATTTTCAAACTTTCACATAGCCTAGACTAGTTCCTGATAATGCCAATTGATAAGCTGTGATTTCTGTGAGACAAAGTAAGCAATTATCATTTTGATTTACTTTCAATCCCAATCCAGCCAGGAAAATTAAAATTACAGCTGTAGGCGACAGACCGACCTCCTTTGCATATTTTTTGTCTATTTCCTTCCGAGCGGCACTGCGTGTGTTCACCATTGCACTTTTGTTCGATGGCGGTGTGAAAAACAAGGTTGCCTGTGATCCGGCTCGAAGGACCACTAATCATAGACAATGAAATAATACCACGCAATTGATGCCACTGAATTTAACCATCAGTAGCATGTTATTATTTCTATAAAATTACGGCAATAAAGAAAAAAAAATGTGCTTTTGTACTTACCATAGTAATAGAAGCGGACGGTGAGCGCGAATGCACACTGGACGTATCAGATACGTCCAAAGAGCGACTATCGCTCCGTCTCGAGCGATCTCTTGATCTCGAACTATCGGAGAGCGCAAATTGCAGCCGACTATCGTCTAAACACGAATCCGAGATGTCGCACAACTCCAACGACGAATCTTGACTAGAACATTCCTGGAATTATATTTTACATAGGTGATTATGACAAGATATTACGCAGATTTCCAAGTCTAACTTGTATATATGACTATATCGTAACATGGCAGTCAATTAGTCTATTACAGCCAGACGCAAGGGTTGAATACTGAGAACTTTGTTTGAAATGTAAGTTAAGGCTAGCAGATTTCCCACATTTAAAAACGTGTGTGTTTGTCAGAATGTTTAAGGAAACGCAATGGTGCCTTTGAGGCACACAGATAACTTCAGCGCTAAAACGCTTATTAAATTGAAGGTTCTTAAATTTACTAAGCGTTTGAGTATTCAACTGTAAAGCATAGAAAGACGCTTCGCTCCGCTCATACAATTTGCTAATGAGTTGAGCAAAGCGATAACCTTACAGAGTATAAACGGCGCAAGCAAACCTTATTGCTCTTCCGGGGCGTGGCCAGCGTTTAGTGCAAACCATATAGTGAATCTATTAATTCATAATAATTATATCTAATCATATTTGTTTAGGAAACTATGACATTAGCCCTAGAAAAATATAATAAATCCAATCAGCTATAAAGTAAAAAAAGCTGTATTATTTTGTTATCATGCTGTAACGACTAGGCTGAGAACTGCCCGTGCAGAAGGGTCACTTTAGTTTTTAAAGCTCTTAAAATTTTCTCTATTCGACATATTAGTTTAGACACATCAAAATATTAAGTGAAATTTCAGCAATTATCCTAGTGCCGATTTGGCCTTGATATAAAAAATAAAGTTTATCTCTTCATACAAAATCTCGGAAATAAAACAAATTTTATAAAAATCACAAACTAATGAGTGTTTAAAATAATAAAATTTGCATTGTTAATCACAGGGTTATTTCTGGTAAACAATGTAGGTATGATACACATAACTATTATGTTTTGATTCATTGAAAAATCTAATTTATGTGAACATAAATTTTAAATTTATAATCTAGGAATACAGAAATAGGTGCTATTAATATCCGTATTTTAATATAAAATAAACAAGCTAAAAGCCGTTAAATAAACACATGCAAGATATAAATTTATTAGTTCATGAACTATGCATACGCATAAACAAGGAATATTTTATTAGATATGAAATTTTTGTCAAGAGGATTATTGCCAAGTACTAGAATAATTACTCGTGATCTTACGACCATTCTCAATAACTTATCTACGTCAAAGGTTTATAAGCTATAAATAGAAGAGCTATATAATTATCTATTTTATATTTGTTTAATCTGCAAAAATCTCAGCTTTTTATAAGTAGAAGAAAATTTTGCAGAACCAAACGAATGAAAAACATAATGATAAACTAAAAGAAATAAATACAAACAAGCAGAAATCGAGCCGTTACCGTCAAATTATCGTAAGCGACACTTTTGTCGAAATTATCGTAAGCGACACTTTTGTCGAAATGCGTTTTTTGTGGAAACTAATATTATAAACCGTAACGGACCCATCTCTGTTGATATTTCCCTCCTAAAGAACACCGTTATAATATAATAGAGGGAAATATCAACAGAGATGGGTCCGTTACGGTTTAAAATATTAGTTTCCACAAAAAACGCATTTCGACAAAACTGTCGCTTACGATAATTTGGCGAGTGTCGCTTACGATAATTTGGCGGTAACGGCTCGAAATGGTCTGCGTGAAAGTATAACAATAAAAAACAGTTAAGTATAACAGACCCAATTATCTAGAAATAGCAAAGCAACATTTTAGAGTAATTGCACTATGTAAAGTAATTTACCGAGGATGGTATATTGGGAATGGTTGTAAAAACACAGCTAAATTCACTTAAGTAAATTTTGGAAAAAAGCATAAATAATTTTTACTCTACATTTTCGATTATATAGCATTAAGGTACACTCAGCATAAGCTGTGGATAGTTTGGAATTTTCGTTTCTCTTGACAGATAAATTGCGAATTTTAGGGACAAAACAAATATTAATTTAGGACTGAAATCAAACAAGGGTAAGCATGTAAGTACACTAGGATCGCTCTCTCTTTACCCTTCTGAGTTTCGCTTTGACGCCCTTTTCCAGATGCAATCTATTTTTCTTCTGAAGCAAAACAAATACATACTTGTACTTCCGCGTTTTGTCAATCACTATAACTATATACATATTTTGGGAGTAATAAGAGCCCGTTCTGTGTTTGTTTAATTTATGTTACTACTAGAACACAACATATATTTTAAGAATAGAACAACTTTGAAAAGACTTGTTCATAAAACATTTTTTTTGGCTGAGATCAGAAAAGCGAATTGAATGTTCTTAGTGGAATCTAATTATCTAAAAAAAAAAGAGTTGCTGTCCACGTGAAATATAGCATAGCTTGACATAGCAACATGTGGCAAAAATCTTATAGTAGCTTCTTTCAAAGACCCTTTGGAAATTTCAAAATTACTCTCAGATCATTATCACGGTGAATGATGAACCGTTTTTCTTCATATCTGCGGCAATCACTTCATATAATAGATTAATTTCTAATTTACTATGATTTGAACTGAAGATAGTGACATGTTGTTTGATAAAAAAAAACTTTTATTTGCTGTACTGAAAACCTACATTTTTATTACTACTAATCAGAAGATAGGTCTTATATAGCAGTTTTAATTTATCCACATTCTATATATTTATAATTTCTACTCCAAGTATTGTCTAGACAGGTAACGATAAATTATTTCTTTATATGTTTTATCAAAAATAATACAGTAGTTGGAACCTTATCATAAAGTAAAATTAACTCCGGGGCTTTACGACGACCAATTCACGTCATGGGAAAATAATATTTCACTAAAGCAATCTCGATTACATTGTATTAAACTTCACGTGACTACTAATAAATTTATCTGTCACATGATAAGATCAATCGTTCGATACGGTTCGTCAATAGCGCAATAAATATATATATATATATATATATATTGAGTAACACTATTTATAATGTCATAGTGACTTATTATTATCTATATGATGTAATTGTATCTAAGCTGTAGTATGAAAAATGTACTTCTTTAATTTCAAGACTTATTTTGAACCTCGGTAAACATTAATAGGTGGCTACAATGGGAAATAGTGTAGGTCTATTCCTTTTTATTATAGAAATAGAAAAAACAATATATTATCAGAATAAACTTCAAGAGTATATAAAGTAGGTCGTATGTATATTAAAAATTATACAGATCTTAAAAAAATAGCTCGAATCGTTTTGAGTTTTGGTTGAAATCTAAATACCTACAGTCCTAAATGAATACATTTTCAAGTGCTTTGTGAAACAGTGTGCGCGAATTTATGATTTAACAATTTTTAAGTATATATTATTGGTACAAAATTGGAGTATGTATTATGATTCTCTGAACCTAAAACTAAATTTAACAACAGTAGGTACATCTTTATTCATTTGGCATCCTTATTAATTTAAAATTATGAATTTAGAGTTTTTTCTTAATGGAGTATAAATTTACCTTTCTTGGTGGAGGCGTCGGTTCATCACGATGGGCGCCATTTTGTAACGTAGGAACTGGAGGCGGAGTTGGTGGCGGTTGTTGCGGTCGATGTTTTGTCATAGTGCCGCCACCACCTTAATAACAACAGCATATTCAATAATCGTGTGCAACAATAAATGCTGTAGCAGTATAAACTTTATACTTAAACTTTATACTATAAAGTCCCTTAACAATATGAAGGAAGAGCCCTAACTATTATCTTAGTATACTTGCTTGAGCCACCGATATTAAATACCATAGATACCCCACGTGCGCTGAAAATGTGTCCCAATCAAGAAGTGCTTGAACACCACTCAAGCAATTTTTGGTTCACAGTCACGCGCGGACCGTTGAAAAGTTAAGTTGCTCCATGAAAAAATGCGAAAAAAAATACTTTTAGTATGGTAAAGTGTCGTTTTTTCAACAGGTATCTAATCAATGATTGTTAATAAAACTTATTTGAAGCAAATTTTGTTCCAATACTTACTATTAACTGATTTAATAGAAAATGTGTGTGATATTCAAATCCATGGTCTGTAATATAGCCGTCTCTTTACCTCGCGGTCCGTACTGCTATATTGCTAACAACGCATTAAGAATTGCGCGTAGAGTCAAAGAAATAAGGTCTATATTCATCCGGATATAGCGATAACGCATTACATTTTACGAGCTTGCATATTGAACTGTCATAACTCTTTGACGCATGCGTTTTAATTAAGACCTTATATAATATGCATTAAAGATGACTTTCAATGATTAAATAATGCCTTATATTGTTTTTGAATCCGCGATCATCTTACGGACCTCCGTCGGTCATTCCATTTACCTTTTGGACAGGTTTCGGGGACGATTTTATTCGTGTTGGTGTATCTAGGGTATTTAATATCGTTGGCTTGAGCCTGTTGATTGGAGTCTCGGTACTTCTCTCAGAGTTGCTTCGTGATGAAAAAAAAGTGGACAGCAAAGTAAACAGAGTAAAAGGAAGCAAGTAATAAGATAAATAATAATTCAAAACGTCAAAAGTAAAAAACCTTTATTCAAATTGGATGCACAACACAACTCTTTTGAATCGTCCACATTTTTATCCCTACCACCACTTAAGGACATTTTTTTAGCTATGGAGAAAAACTGGCGAAAAAAACTTCACAGCATTAAATAAAATTATATAACAATATTTACAAAATATTATATTATATATCAAGCAGTTACATGCTTTAAAAATAATAAAAATTATAAATATTATATTGTTACGGTGTCAATACAAAATCAAATCATCTTCATCATAATTATAGAAAAACCCATCGGAACGTTTGGAACAGTTTAACCAAAGCATCTTTGTCGGAAATATAATCAGACACCTTATAATAGGCTTTGTTAATAGGAACTCTTTTATAAATTTAAAGGCACTATACCTTTAAATTTATTGACGCTTAATTTTTGGATATTGCTAGAGACTTTCGTTTCAGCGTATATTAACGTTAATTGTAGAAGCGTACACAAAGACCTTAAAATGCAATATTGATTTTGTGGAGCCTTGTAATTAGTACAGCTAATTTATTTTATTTTTAGTATTAAACGAGTGCTTATCACTGTTTATAGGAAATAACGAAATATTTTTTCGAACATACATTCAATTTCATAAATGTACTGAGAATCAACAGTCATTATATCGATTTCTTTAAAATGTTCTCTTAAGAGTCTCTAGTCTTAAGATTGTAAATTGATCGAACAGCCTGCTTTTGCAGCACAAAAATAGTTTGAATGTCGGCAGCATTTCCCCACAGCAAAATATAGTTCGACATCACACTATGAAAATAACTGAAATAACTAACCGAGCGGTATCTACGTCAGTTAATTGGCGTATCTTCATTACTGCGTAGGCTGCAGAGCTAAGTCTCTTCGACAATTTCTCAATATGTGGGCCCCACTGAAGCTTCGAATCTAGTGTAATGCCTAAGATTACTGTAGTGTCCACAAGGTCCATATTCCTATCTATGATGAATTAATGTATGCACAGTGAGTAGCTCAGATAACCATAGCGCGTTTGGTCAGAGATCGTTGAACACCTTCGCAATGGCCGGTCATTGGATGGGTGACCAAAAACTTACTACTTCCAACTCCTCCGTGCTTCAGAAGGCACATTAAGCCGTTGGCCCCGGCTGCATTTGCAGTCACTCACCTACCAATCCGGTCATGATTCAATCTCACTATTCCATCCATAGGAAGGCCCGTGCCCCTGCAATGGGACCATTAATAGGCTAATAAACAAGAAGTAGGTACCGCGTATCAAACGGGCACTTTCAGTTGCGGGCGTAGGCTTTGACCTATGATGCATCCAGGTTGAGTTGAAGAGAAAGGCAACATGACAGCAAAGTAAACAGAGTTGAAGGAAGCAAAAAGTAAGGGTAGGTAAATAAATAATGTATGTACCGTGTATCAAACGGGCATTGTCAGCTGATAGCGAGGGCGACCTCGGATGCCGCCAGGTTGACTTAAAGAGAGAAAAAAGGGGGCAACAAAGTAGACAGTGTTGATAAGGAAGTAAAAAGATAGGATAGGTAAATAATAAATGTATGTAGGCATTGTCAACCGAGGGCGAGGGCGTTGACCTGTGATGCAGCCAGGTTGAGTGTAAGAGAAAGGCATCAGGACAGCAAAGTAGTCGGTGTTGCAGGAAGAAAAAAGATAGGTAGGTAAATAATTAATGTATGTATGTACTAACCGTGTATCAAACAGGCACTTTCAGTTGCGGGCGAAGGCGTTGACCTATGATGCAACCAGGTTGAGTTGAAGGAAAAGGCAACGGGACAAAAAAGTAAACAGTTTTGAAGGAAGCAAAAATATAGGGTAGGTAAATAAATAATGTATCAAACGGGCAGTCAGCTGATAGCGAGGGCGTTGACCTCGGATGCAGCCAGTTTGAGTTAAAGAGAAAGGAAAGAGGGCAACAAAGTAGACAGTGTTGAAAATGAAGTAAAAAGATAGGAATGATAAATAAATTAATTTATGTAGGCATTGGTGTCGATTCTGGCATGATTCTCTAAAGCTAAACTTAAATTTGACAACAGTGGATCCTTGTCATTCTCTATATAGAATAAAAAGGACAGACTGATATTAAATTTAGTTTTAAGTTTAGAGAATGCTGCCAGAATCGACACCATTGTCAACCGTGGGCGAGGGCGTTGACCTGTGATGCAGCCAGGTTGAGTTGAAGAGAAAGGCATCAGGACAGCAAAGTAGCCGGTGTTGAAGGAAGTAAAAAAGATAGATAGGTACATAATTAATGTATGTACTAACCATGTATCAAACGGGCACGGTTAGCCGAAAGCGAGGGCGTTGACCTGTGATGAAGCCAGGTTGACTTGAAGAAAAGGGGAAGAGGACAACAAAGTAGTCGGTGTTGAAGGAAGCTAAAAGATGGGGTAGGTAAATAATTAATATATATATTATGTACCGTGTATCAATCGGGCACTGTCAGCTGATGGCGAGGGCGTTGACCTCGGATGCGGCGGCGGATGAGACAACGCCACCGCTGGCGGTAATGGCGCGGTGCGTTTCTTCAGACTGCCGATGTTATCTGTCATATGAGAATATAAAATATATAAACATAATTGAATATATTCCACTTAAATAACAATCTTCATTTAAGTGTGGTTAAGGTGAAACATGTCGTCTAGAAGCTCGTGGTTAAGCTGAAATTAGCGAAGATCTGGCTCGAGGGACTATATGGAAACCAAACATTATAGAAGGGGAAAATTTCAGAGAGAACCATAGACATATAAAGAATGGACTGAGCGATAATCAGATGAAATGGACAACTCTCTAGAAACGAGGTAAAATAAACAGCTAAGGGCATACAAAGGCGGCCGCGATCTGCCGCCAAAATTTGCATTGCACTATAGGCGACTACTACACACCGTGAATTTTGAAATCGTAAATAACATTAGTGCAAAAAGTTATAAACAGAAAACTTACTACATACAACAATATTAATTTATATTGTTTACAAAATATCTTTAAACAGCACAAATTTGTAATTAACATACCTTTTATGGAATTTGGAAATTGCTAAGGTTCCATAATTGGAAAGTTAGCAAATTAACGTCGATACATTTTCCGATAAAATAATTAATGATTTTTTTTGCCGAAATATAAACTAAGTCACGGTAATAATATCATACAGTATTCTATCTTCATACAAACGGTCGGAACGCGAGTCATACCTACGCCACTCGAGTTCGATGTGCTCTCGGCGTGCACCCAGTCGCGAATGCGCCGCCGCGCCGCAACGACGACCGAACGGTCTGAATTGTTTTTTATGCAGTTAGCCGTGCTTAAACGTGCGTTTTGTATTGTAAATATTTGATTTAATTAAGTAGATACCTACATAATTTAGTATGGAAATGAATATCGTACAACAGCACAATTGCTGTTTTAGGTTGCTTGAACTCTTCAATAACACACCCAGAGATATCATTTTTTAAATTACCTGAAATATTGGAAAGGTGTCTTACCTTTATAGAATATTTTTTATATACATATCTACTAGTACGTTGTTTCTAATATTTAGGTATTTCGGTTTTTCCATCGGGCAAAATATCTGGAATAATATATAAATAAGTGGTTAGGATGAAAAAAGAGACAAACGAGTAATCTACCTACACTCGCGTTAAAAACAAAACTACATAAAATACTGTAGGCTGGCGGCCCTACCGCGTGCCAACGCAGCGCTCGGTGTAGGCATTTATTTTCAAGGACAGGGCGGAGTCACAATACTGTATAGATAATATTACCGTGAGTAAGTCGTTATTTGAATTAGCTACTAAAGTTTCTTAGGTAACTGAAAATTTATGTGTATACTTATTATTACTCACACATAGCCGGCTTCCTGGGCAGCGTAGTAGGGGTGGGGGGTGCGTGCTGAAGTGAGTCACAAGTGGAAGACCTCGAACGTAATACGGGGGAATCCCCGCCGCTTACGACGGCACAAGCGCCGCCTGCGTACGAGGGAGGCCGCGACCTGGGGCATTTCTTCTCTGGAGTCACGCTGCCGTTTTGCTGGAAGCAGTTACACAGTTCACGTTAACCTAGGATCCTTTAAAAGAGGCGTGAAGGAACATGCAGGCCGGCATGGTGAGGATGGCTGGTGTGGCAGGTAGAACTGCTGTATCAGCTATCTTCGCGTCTGGACTTCACCTTCACTTAACATCACTCGTTCATAAGTAAAACTGTGTAGCAAATAATCTAAATGAAAAATCTGTTTGCACAACAAATGAAATAGTATTCGTGTAGTATATTACACAAAAATCTGTGTTTTTTCTTTTTAAACATCTAGTATAAGTTATTTTGAATTGAAACTTCACAAGAGTTTTCTATTACATTAATAGAAAAAAAGATAATTTTCATTTTGTTTCAGTTCTAAATCACCACGATTTAATTTTAATATAAGTAGATATAATGGCTGCTCTCACCATAATGTTGAATCATGACATGACAATAAGGAATTTTGCCTCCAAACACAAGAACAACTGCAGTAAAATATAGATAACGAACGACAGGTCCTAAATTAAAATTAAATTCTAAATATATTCATTAAAAAAATAGATAAACATTAACTAAAATAACAATAGCTATAAGCTCACCCGTTCATCAATAACAGTGTCGTCGTCCGAGAAGTCTGTTGACCCATCGTCATGGGATAAATTCCAGTCTATATTAATGTTTTCGAACATGCTCTTTTCTCTCTTGTCTACATTCTCCAACTGCAAGGGAAAATAATAAATTCACAAAAAAACAGTAAAAAATCTGCTTGGCAAGTTCTCACACATTCAAGCACAGGAGTTGTGAAGAAAGTACAAATAAAAATAGAAATAAGACCATTAGCCCCCTTCTTTAACTAATTTTGCGATGTCCTCCACAGCGAAGGTGTTTAAGCCAAAACCCCCTATTTTAACTTATTTCACGCTTTCCTTCAGAACTTAAGTAATATTCAATCTCTGGATAAGAAACTAATTTATCAGATATACTGACGAAATGGACGGTTGTGTTCATTTGTAATTCATCATCATTTTTCTGAGTAATAATTTAGTCGGCAGATAATTTTTATTTTATCGAAAAAACGGACCGCAGTTAAAGATACGACAATCGAAAATAGGCCTTAAAATTAAGAATTTCCAAGATACGAAACTCACCAGTTCCTGACAAGCGTGATGCCCCAGTTGTTTAGCGATCTGCAAAGCGGTTCTTCCGCTACCATCTTTCAATGTTGTGTCAGCGCCTGCTTTGAGCAACAGTTTCATTGGTTCCGTACGATCTGTGGCCGTGCACAAATGTAAGGCCGTCATTCCGGTAGTGGTGGGTTTGTCAAGCAGCTGAGAGCCGCCGTTCTGGACTAGAAAATCGACTATGTGCAGACTGGAACCGTCGCCCAGTTCCCGCGATATAGCTAAGTGAAGTGCCGTTTCGCCGCAATCCTAAGGAAAATATGGAACGAATGTCAAAAAGGTACATGCCGCGCTCAAACGTATAAGGTATGTTAATCCGGTAGTGGTGGGGTTTGTCTAACAGCTGAGAGCAGTTGCGTGCCTTTCATATAAGCCGATAAGCTCGGCTTGCCCTAACTAAAACTCATTTGCAGTATTACTAAATCGAAATTAATTATATGTATACAACGATATTTAATATCCCTAGATACACCACGTGTGCTCAAAATTTGTTCCAATCAAGACGTGCTTGACCACGACTCAAGCACTTCTTGGTTCACAGTGACACGCGGACTGTTGAGAAGTTGAAGTCAACCCATACTTACAGTACGTAGTACAGTTTTCTCTAACCAATGTTTGTTAATGTAACGCATTTGAAGCAAATTTTGTTCTAATGCTTACTATAAACTGATTTAATAGAAAAGTTTTGTGATATACAAATGTATGGTCGGTTGTATGGCCGTCTATTTTCCTCGCGCTCCGTACCTGCTATATTGTTAACAGCGGATTCAGAATTAATTAATAGATTAATAGAAATAAAATCTATATTCTTCCGCCTATAGTAACAAGTCTTAAAATTTAAAGGTGCATTTTGAAACGTCAAACAGACCGTCTTACGGAGCTCTGTGGATCATTCAATGTACCTTTTGGCCAGGTTTTGGCCGTGGGTGCTCAAACGGTCGATCGCGACCGTTTAATTAACCGTTTAACCATAATATACTAGCTACGGTACACCCTACCTAGGTAGGTAGGTAGGTGTGGTGTATCGTGTATGTACGACAACCCTGCATCACACATACTTGCAGCCTCTCAGAGTCGATCGTAAGTAGTCTAAAATTTTTGAGAAAGATCGTTGTATTTATAACATAATATTATTCATCATCATCATCATTCATCAACAGCCTATCTGAGTTCTCTGCTGGACATAGGCCTCTCCAAATGCACGCCACTCAGATCGATCTTGGGCTACTCAATTATAATATTATTCACGAAAAGAAAATTTTCAACAAAAAAACAATTTTTGTCAACATCAAATATTGTAAATATTTATAAAATAAGTTTATGAAAAAAATAATAGCATAATTACGAAGAAACCATACAATGCTTTACATCTCACTCGCACTCGTTGGTTTCCGTGCTCCACTTCAGTCTGTCATATAATAAGGCGGACGTACCGAGCAAGACAGCGGTGCGGCCAGATCCGCTCCTTCAGCGTACGCCTGTAGAAGGTTATGTAGATGTCCATTATTGACCGCGTGCTCCACTTCAGTCTGTCAGATAATAAGACGGCACGTACCGAGCAAGGCAGCGGTGCGGCCAGATCCACTCCTTCAGCGTACGCCTGTAGAAGGTTCTGTAGATGTCCATTATTGACCGCGTGCTCCACTTCAGTCTGTCAGATAATAAGACGGCACGTACCGAGCAAGGCAACGGTGCGGCCAGATCCGCTCCTTCAGCGTACGCCTTTAGAGGGTTCTGTAGATGCCCATTATTGACCACGTGCTCCACTTCAGTATGCAGATAATAAGACGGCACATACCGAGCAAAGCAGCGGTGCGGCCAGATCCGCCCCTTCAGCGTACGCCTGTAAAAGGTTCTGTAGATGTCCATTATTGACCGCGTGCTCCACTTCAGTCTGTCAGATAATAAAACGGCACGTACCGAGCAAGGCAACGGTGCGGCCAGATCCGCTCCTTCAGCGTACGCCTGTAGAAGGTTCTGTAGATGCCCATTATTGACTGCGTGCTCCACTTCGGATAATCTCTCGGCGGCGTCGCAGCATGTGCGCGCAGCCCACGCTCTATAGACGTACTTCTCGCGAATAAACCTTAACCGTTCCTCCCTGAAAACATTAAACTTTTGCTTTAAAACATTATAATAGAATAAAAGACTTGGTAAATTAAAGAAAGTGAAACCAAATAAAGCGCGATTCAAACTTTATGGCAGCTGTGAAGTTAGCAGCGAGCGCAACTATGCTCAGCATTCATTTCATTGACGTCCCGCGCGCGCTTTCTTCATTCTACAGGTTGTTCACTGCGTCGCGATTTGCGCTAATTTCAGTGCCATTAAGTTTGAATTGAACTATAACTTACTTAAAATTACAAGATAGAGATTATTGTGCTAAATGTGTTGGAGACGAAAATTTTATATAGATTTTTCAATAACCCCGACATCAATAGCAAGTTGAACCTAGTAGCCAAAATACAAATTCACTCTCTCGTCATGTATTATTATTTTAAAACTGAGGTAATACAAAAAGTACAAAATTTATTAATAGTATTTACATAGTGCTTTCCGGAGTAAGTTTGTCTCGTTCGTCGAGAGTGTTCTCCATTACTTCGTTGAACATCTGATTGCCCATGTGCCTCGCTAACAGCAGCTGGGATGTACTAAGTCTGTCTAACGTAAGCGACTGTATCCTAGATATGTGCACGCCCAATTCTCTGTGGCTTCCGGAACATTCTATACACACTATCACGCCGAAATTCGTCGATAACCAGGTAGGATCTGGAAAAAAAATATTTCTAATTTGAGCAAACGAAATTTTAAAGTATAATCAGGTGGTTAAATCTAAATCTGCGCCAAAAAAATGCGTGCGAATTTAAAGTAGATTTATCGTTTTCATAATTTAGTCGATTATTTATATGCATATGATAACATTTATTTTCATTGTCGTCATATCAAATCATATAGTTATCATTTTATCAATGATTGCCATCCAGTTACATTTAATAAAATAAACTTGATCTTTGTAAATTCATGATATGATTATGCCCTTATATCGAGCTTACTCGATGCTTTGGAAAGAGTACAGTGGTGCTGGTGACCTACCCGCATCATTGGCGATATCGAGGTAACTAACAACCTCGAATTTACAATTGCGTCGTAATGTAGTGCGTTCTATCGACTATACCACAGCGAGTGTTGTGAGGAGATTCCTACACGAAAAAAGAGATTTGGAATTATTTCTTTGCCCTACTAATCGCAAGTGGAATTCTTCGCGCACGTGTCCATTCCTTCTTACGATCCGGGGTCCTTCAAAAGAGGCGTTAAGAAAAAAAATATGCAGGCCAGACAAGTAAGGAAGGTTGGTGTCGTAGCTCATAACTGCTGCACCAATTAACTATCATTGCGCCTGGTCGGGACTTTACCACCACTTAACATCGGGGGGCCTACCGCCTATCGGGATTGCTTTCGCTATTGCTATAGCTTATGATTTCATTTTGTTATTTCTGACCGACGATGGTTTTCAAGAAGTGTGAAGTTCACACTTTTTGTTCACTCTCATCGTCAGCTTGGATTAACATACTTATGACTATATCCTAGAAGACTATGAAGACAAAGGTAATGTTCTCACCATTGCTAGAACCACAGTCGGCGCACACTTGGTTTCCCGGTAACGTCCTGACCGCTCGTATGATCGACCGCTGCAAATCCAGAAGAGAATGCCCAGTGTCGTTACTTTCGCCCGCTTGTTGATGGAATGCCCTCATGAGCGCACCCTCTTTGCAGTTCACTAGAACTGAAGACCACGCTCGCTGTTCACTCTCATCTTCCGCTTGGAAATGGTAGGTACGATTATCTGAAATAATTTAACCAATTATATATTATCTATACATGTAATAAAATGGTAGGAAAGTCAAAACTGTACATTGAATATTTTTTTAAAAGAATACTTGGGGTGTGATCTACAGTCAATACCGAAGCCAAAAAATATAGTTTTTAGAATTTTTGTCTGTTTGTCCGGGATAATCTCAAAAAGTACTGCATGGATTTACTTAAATTTTGGCACGAATATTATTAGGAAGTCGGGTCAAGATATAGGCTACATATTATCATGCTATCACCTACGGGGAACGAGCAGTGAGTATTTCTAACTAACTCCACGCGTACGAAGTCGCGGGCGGCCGCTAGTACTTAATAAGAAGAATAACCGCTACGATGAAAGAGGTAAGAAGGGGACTGAAGACTGCCTGCTACAATCTCAGAGGAGAGCAGAGAAAAACATGGACAGTGGTTATAAAACCTGCGAAGATAGTAAGACTGTAATGTTGAGCGTATTTTAAGTGAATATTCAAACAGTGGACCGATAGCCTGTTATTTTATCATTTCCTACAACATCATTTAATCGCAAACATTGGCGACGTACTTACGCTTAATCTTGAAATCCCAGGATGTATACCTTGAAGCTATGTACGTGTTTAGGCAAACATTTTTCCTAACAAGATTGCAGGACATAGATTTTACACTTGTTGATCTTAATTACATGCTAGTGTTTACGATTGTTTACTCACATGAGACCAAATCGAACGCCCTCTTATCGTCAGCCGACACCTTAATCTGGCAGGTGAGTAGGTTGACCCTCGCCGGTGGCTTGTTCTCATCCGCATGAAATATGTCCAGGAAGCCCTCAGCTGTGACCCGACATCGTCGCTTCTGCCACACTCTTCGGACCTTTCCTTCGGACTTTTTGAGCAAGTAACCGCTCCTCGTGACGCCGTGTTGCTTATCACCTTGCAGCTGGTGAAGGGAATAGCCGCCGATAGTGGAGGCTACCTGGAATTTAAAACCCCCGTTAAGAAATACGTAATCTAAACGTATTGCTTGAGTTCTTAAAAGTAATTCTTCAATTTAGAATATAGTGAGAAGATTTTACTATTCTTGCATTGAAAATAAAAATATTGAAATTAAAAGCAAAAAATAAAAACTGTTATGGATAAGATAGTACAAACTATACGGTAGAGATGAGAAAAAAATAATAGTTAACTGTACCTCTCGGTCCTGTGGCGCTGCTGCACGCAACATGTTCCTCAGCTCCAAGAGCCGCCTCCTCTCGTCGTCCTGCTGCTGTCGGATTTTCTGTAGCTGTACGCTGAGATCGGCAACATACACGCCAAAATGTTTTATCGTCTTTAAACCGTCTTGAAAATAGTTCGTCTGCGCATGGTAGTACTCCACCAGGTGTTGCAGCAACTCAATGCCTTTTTTCGTCTTTATCTCGTTGAACTTTATCAGGTACTAAAACAATTGATCACACTTTAAATACAACAGGCACGAGATTGATGTTCAAACTTGGAACGGGTCAGCACTAAATGGATATCAGACAAGGCGACGCCGAAAACTGCGCGTGGGCACGCCGCTTATTACTTCACCGGGAACTGTAACTAATGGGACACTCCATAACAGTAACGAGCGGCGGCGCTCGGTGCGTACTGTGGAAAGCTCAAATTTAAATGATGCCTTCCGTGAGTTAAAATTATACTTGATGACGCACGTGCACGTATCCCGATCTGTCTTGCGAAGTTGTGCAATAATAATAACGCATGGTGCGCGACCTTGCACAATATTCTTGGCGCGCTGCCTCTTGTTTTCGTTAGTTATCATCGATTTTGTTTATGTATGTGGATTTGTTCGAGGTGCTCTTCTTGCATGTGATATCTTGTGCGTGCGCGGGCTGGTAAAAGTATCATGCGGAGTGGACTGTCGGTGTTGTTGTTTATTTGCACGGGGCCACTTGCCCTGCGACTAGACGAGGAACAAAGCGACGGAGCGAGGGTCACAGCCCAGCTAGTGCCGTCGGCGCGGCCCTGCGCAGCGCAAGGCCGGTCGACAACCTGGGACGCACGGTACCGCACTATAAAGCCCTAAGCTTTTAACTTTTTACCTTTTTTATGTCGTTCAGTTAGTTTTTTTTAAACTACATACTTAGAAAATTTCTTTCATCTAAGGTTTGTTTAAGAGGCGATACTTCTAAAGCACTTATATATTTTTTTAACATTTTATTCAGTTACAAATAAATTAGTTATAGTAATAGTAATATAAATATAATAAAATAATTATTGCTATTTCGGCGGAAATGAATTTTATAACTTGTTACCAGTCAGGTCGCAGAATTGTATCAAATTGTATTTCGTATTGCAAACACAACTTCAGAGCTAAAATCCGTTTATTAGGCCCGTTATTAGGATGAATTGTGTTGGAAAAGAGTAAAAATAACACAATATCATTCCGATTACGAAAATAGATTAAATTTAAAAACACAGTTTATCATAATTATAATAATTCATGTTGCCCTTATCACTAGATTTCCTCAAATTGAAAAAACTTTATTTATGTTAAATGTAAATAATAAATTAATGAATCACTGATTTCGGTATCGTCAAAAGGAATTATTAATAATTTTTAATTTTTAAATTACACCTGCCTGCTGGAGTGGGTCCCTAAAATAAAGTAAAAATAATAATAATATTCTTTATTGTTATACACCATAGAAAAACACACAAGTAAATTAAAACATGATAAATAGAACGTACACAATATAGGCGGCACGTACACAATAAAGTAATGAAAGATAAGTACCACAGTAATATTAAAATTGGTGTTTCCAGATCCGGATTACTTAAAAGGGTATACAGGTACCATATAATATTGACTAAGCTAAATAGCAAACACGTTTAAGAATAAAAAATAAACTGTAAGATTCTGCAATGCGACCGTGAACTCTCGCCATTTGGCATGTCTCTTACTTAAAGCACGAGCAGCATGCAAGCGAACATTTGGCAAGTGCTGACTAGTAAAGTAATAGGAAAAATATATAACAGAACACATTACCAATAGCAAAACAAAAATGCCTTTTTATAAAAGCTGTTACGGAGACTTAAATCTTGTTAAAAATAATATTATTTCCATCTATCGGGTGCTATTCCGATCTTGGCTGCAGATGCAAACCAGTCGTGCACCCACAGCCGGGATACTTGTAGACACTGCAAGTGCTGCCTGCATCTGTAGCCGAGATCGCAATAGCAACTTTATGTTGCTGAATGTACTTGAAACGATAAAGAACACCGCGCATTGAAAATGTAAAAAGAGCGAGCCAAAGAGGAAAATTTTAAAGAATTTTCTCCAATAGCTGCCGTTATACAGGACTGATATGTATTGTATAATAATGATAAACGTTATTTAATACTAAAGTCATTCGACGAGATATTCAAATTATTCATAAACAGTGAGAACTAAGTCACAACAGCCACAATCACAATCTTGCGTTGTTTGTGTACCGCTGTAAAAGTGGTCATCAAAATTATGATTAGTTATAATATATAGCTACATTGCGCCACCATAACTGTAGGTAATGGCGGTTAGTGTTTGGCACGAATATGGACTGTTCAACAATAACAGAACAACAATAAAGCGGCTCTGGCACTTGACACACATTATCAAAACGCATAACTGTAAATCCAGTGTCACTGCCAATACCGAGCTGACCTCTGGCCTTTTTATATTCGGATCTCATAAGAACCAAGGAGCAATGATCTCTCTGACTAGTATGACGAGATTTTTTAAGTTAACTGTTATTTAATGATTGTAATGTACCCAAAGATAGAATCAGGACTGCGAACGTTTTGTCTTTTATTTTAAGTAAAAATTCGTTGTACTAACTTTCCTAGAAAACTAAGAAATTATTTGTTTATAGTAAAAGATTACTGGGGACGATAAAACCCTTCATGGGTAAGGCAATTAGCATCTAGTGTTGATTGTTGCTAATGTGCCCATTCAGTAACAATTAAACTCGCTTGCGGTGTCCACAATGGCACTAGACAGGGAAACAGTTGAACAATAGCTGTCATGGACAAATATATTGTTACTGACAGGCTAATTGCATTCCTGGCGATAATTATGAAAAAGCTATCTAGTGACAAATTACGTAGTCAATAAACAATTGTTTTTGTGAATTAGCTGTTCCTTAACATATTATTTACGAATTGAAGCAAGCCTATAAGCCCTTACAATTACTTTATAATACGTACATACAAACTGATACATACTTTAAGACGACTGACGTTGTCCTAAAGAGGACGCGGTATATTTTATGGAAAAATTTATAAATCCTACCTGCGCAATATCACATAAAGAGAGCAAAATCACGCAAACACTATAACGAGCAACTTCCATCAAGAAAATGACTTTTTACATTTGTAAATAAAGTTACACCAGGACGGATAAAAACTAGAATGATTTTGCACGCTTTGTCATTGATTCTTCCAAGGTCTTATTCCGTTTTCTAATTAAATACTTACAACTTATTCTTGGGATATTTTTATTTCCTAAAAGAACTATTTAAGTCGACAATTTTACACTAAAAAATGTTAGTTGCAAAATTTATCAATCATAACAAGCTCATTTGGTTTGATAATGATTTTAGGGTTGTTGTACATCTGTGTTAATGGGCTCAAGTTATATATTCTAACTTGCTACCAAGTTTTGTGTTATGAGAGGTCGATCGTTTACATACGATTTAAACGGGTAATGGTTAATGGTAATATCAACAACTCTTTGTACCTACATGTATAGGTATGAACGACATTGGTCCAGCCAGAGCAAATAGATCGTAAGAACAAAGTACTTATTTAGATTCAAACTTCATAGTACAATGGATAAAAGGGAAATGGTAAACGATTATATTGTAGTTGTCAAATTATTGGTCCATTTCCCAGGTGCTTTGAAAAGGATACTCAACGTGCGGTAAAACAACTAATTAGCAAAATGAGGGTTGAAACCACGAATCAGGGAAATATTTCGACCCTGAATTCGAATATTTGTTTCGGTACTATTTTTGCAATACAAGAACTACCTATACCGATACGAAAAAAGTAATGGAACATAAGGTTGTGTCGAGGAGCAACCATGGAATGGATGGCATATGCACACACGCCGTGAGTGTTATCTATAATTTCCTAATGGTAAAACAATAACTCTAAAACCCATTGCAATGATGAAGTTTATGTACTTTATACAACAATAAGATTTTTCTATAAATAAACCTACCGTTTACAACACAAACAACTGTATTAGCAGTGGAAAAAACGGATAAGTAGATAACAGGATTTACACACAACTCGGGTGCGAGTTGCAACCTCATTCCTAAGCGAATAATAACTAACCAAGACAAGGGCAACCAATTAGCAAACAAGAAACAAAAAGAGGGGTAATACTACATTTAAGCCACAATTGTACTTAGGTACGCGTTTCGACACTAAACTACGCAGTAAAGTTAGTTAAAATAAACTTCTTACAACTTTGATTCTTGATTCTCCACTTGTATAATGTATTATTAAAGTTTTACAAACAGTATCGTTCTATAATAGAGGGTTTCGGTAAACATGTTTAATTTCAATTGTTCAGGGCAATAGCAAAACCTACTTACACTAAAAACCCAAGGCCGAGGGCGAGCCGAACACCCATACGAAGGGTTTCAGGCCATTGTTCAAGTTTAACACATTTGGTGAAAAACTTGAAACGTCTACTTATTTCGATCCATGTGCAAAAGATAGGCGGTCTGTAGAAGAATAAGAGCCCCGTTCGGATACGGAAACCTATTTATTTTCTGAGTCTCATGAGTTATCGTAAATAGCTCAATGAGCATAATATCGAGTTTTTCCTATTATAAATGGAAAGCTATCTATGATAACTCATAATAATTAACATTCTTTGTATTCGTTTCGATATACAGAATCTATTTTATTCGGTGTGTTTTCTTTGACATAGCAGCTTCTAATCATCCGCCGCCTCAATTTATTATGAAAATTATCTACCTCTTGACGAATTAAAAGTTATAATTATATTATTCCTCCAGTCGTGGCTCAATGCTGAGCGTCGTGATGTTCCCGATTCATATTTCCTTCACAGGCCTGCTTCCAGTACTTCTAGCATAAACCAATATCGAATTCGTATCGTTTCCGAGTCCGAAATGTCATTGTCAAATGTGTACTGATTTTTAGTTCTCGTTACGTACTTTGTGCCGCTGCTGTTCAAGTTTCCATACAAAATTTGACATTGCCATTTCGGTTTGCAAACTATTCGAATTCGATAATGGTTCGTGTTAGGGGTACAGTTTTCCCTATTTTTAGCATGGTCAAGGGCGTTTGTGATGGTAATACTAAGACATTTTGATATTTGGTCGGTTCATCTAGTAGGACTGCGACCTCTTGCTCTTTTGTCCTCAAGCTTCCCCGTAACAATCAGTTTCTCCTGGTTATCAGAGGATTTTCGAGCCATGTGGCCAAAGTTTTGCAACGCTCTTTTGAGTCAGACGCACGAAAGTCTCTGTGTTACATGCAACACCTTCAAAAATTTGTCCACGGCATGCGTAACATGCGCCGCCAGCACCAGCATCTTCACCGTCTATGATTCGGCTCCAAAAAGGAAGAAAGTATAAGTCGTACCAGATATACAATAAGTTCCTGGCATTAAGAGAGTCCCGACACACATGACATGAAAGAATTATTTTGGCTCTTCGCCATCCTGTTAACAGTACTTAAATAAATATCCTTCGGTGTTCCTTAAATTCAAGGTGTCTTTAATATTATCAGTGCCCGGTTAAAGTTAGTCAGGAATAACATAGGATAACTCTGAAAACCACGTACCACTACCACCACCAAGCACCTTTATTGATTAAACTTTAGAAAGTGCGTATAATGAGAAGCTGGTTACGTCATTAAATGTAATAAACAAAACAAGTTTAAGTTACATTACAACGCTGAGTTTGGTTATAATCACAAATCGCTTAAGCTTTACAACGGCAGGTTTGAAACTCAACTAAAAGTCGTTGCGGCAGTTAATTATTTTATAAAGCAATAAAAAACCGGACAAGTGCGAGTCCTGCTCGCCCACCGAGGGTTCTGTACAAATTTGTAGGTACGAAACACCGAAGGTTCTGTAAAATTTGTAGGGACGCAAAATAAACGACCATATCTTTTGTTAACGTTAACTTAGAAGTTTGATTTTAGGAACAGCTTCAAGGGACCGCAAATTTAAGTATATAGTTTAAATTTCAACTCGATACCTCCACGCGCTCCCGAGATAAAGGGTCTTGACAGGCAGATAGAACAGAAATCAAATTATACTTTGAAATAAAATTGACTTAAAGAAAGCTGTTTTCAATAGTCCAATATTTTTATATAGAAAAACGTTCTCATCCCTTTTTTAAAAGTTTGATTTCTTCACAGAAACTCGCTAAAAACAAGGTACGTGGTAACAATCCCGTTAATAACATATTATATTACTATAATGTTAGTGACCATAAAGTTTAAAAAAATACATAAATATTATGTTATTATGATAAACCTTTGTACTTATAGTACGGGATTAGCGCGAACTAGAGGTTTGTAATTAGTGGTTTACGAGTAAATTACGAACAACAGGTACGTTGGGTAGGTACTGGCCAGATTTAAGCACAGCCGCTAATTGCACATTCACAAAACACCTTTTGACTTTGCTACTTTGCGTCCTATTTGAAAAACTGTGTTAAATTAATACGCCAACAGTTCTTCTTATTGATAGTAAATACTTATAAAATATGCATTTGCTTACTCTTTATTATTTGAATTTGATGTTGTCTATTAAAAATATCGATTTACGGCCATGAAAATATCATACACTGTGCTGTGATATATTTAAATTACACTAAAGGAATATGTAAATATTTGAATATTTATAGGTCTAACTAATATACATATTTTTTATTATATTTTATCAGACTGTAACGGGAAGTTACCGCTCCGCATATTGTCGCTATATTTTTTGTCTCCAATATTTTGGATTATTATTAGACAACATTTTAATTTATATTATGAAATACATAGTCTTATTTGTGATATAAGCAATTAAAAATGTTAAGTATCATGTTTTAATAGCTGCACAGGTTGTTTAATATAGATTACAAAAACAAGAACAACGATGAGAAAGATGTCTATTCTATTAGCCTAATAGCATAATTACATTTCTGATCTAAGAGAGGTAGGGCAAAGCAGACTCGAATTGGAGCACCCGTCTGGGGAAACAATTTCCGCTTAACATGATATCACACTATCTTTTGATAAGGATGTGTTTCTGTCATGAGTAATTATCCAGGGCTCCACACTGTAAGGGACTAGTTTCAGGCTGCCAAAGTCAAAATGCCTGGAGAGATTTTTTTTAAGACGTATTTTTTTATAGTATTAAACCTACTGTGAAAACAAACTACCATTTTGTGCACGATTATGAGAGTTTGTATCATTAGAATAATGAAGAATCTTGGAAAAAGTAATATAATCATTGCTCCCACGTGCATAGACCTGCACTCATAAATATCTCAAATTACACAATCATTGACTGACCGCAATTCAATTCTGTCGAGTTATTGTAATGCGATTTTATTAGAAATAAAGTAGCTGATAAGGAATTATAAGAATAATATTCATTGAACTATTGATGTCTTCAAAATTACAAATCTCAACATACATTCTAGATTCTATCATATAGAAATGCATTCGGTTACGATGTATCGTCATGTGAATGCGAAATTCATGTCTCTCTTTAAGAAATCCAAAACTACGGAAGCCCTAATCTTTTTATTTTATTGTGCTAACCAAGTGCTGCCGTAAAGAGTACATTGACTTAGATTGACGGCGGTACTCAAAACTTAAAGATCGAGATGACGCACAAGATCCATACCTCACACATTTGAAGCTGGAACAACCTTCGCTCCTTCTCCATTTCATCAGCTATCTCCGCAGGTGTCACCTCACTTCGGATTAATCCCGCCTCTTTTGCCTGAGACTTCTTCTCTTTCTCTATCTTCAGGTACTTTGACTCGTAGTCTTTGGAAGCTTTGTCAAACGGCCTTTTCAGGTCACCTTTTACTCCTCTGAGATCACCTTTCAATACGCTGTCTACGGGAAACATTACTATATTGTTTATATTCTGCATCTGTGGACAAATAAATTAAAGTTTAGTGGAGAACTGGTACATAATTTAAAATGTGGGTAATTGCCTGTCTTTTCCACGTCATTAGGAAGCAGCCTTAGAAATCCGAACGCCACGAAGATCAAGTTTCTTAGCCCTCATTTATAACAGCCAGGAGCGCCGCGGGGTGCGCAATATATCTTTAGTAATTTATAGTTTGAGATATGTTACAAGTAAATCAATCTAAAATTACTGAAGGTGTGCAATATAGAGTGTAGAGTAGGAATGGAGTTTTTTTTATAGATAGGTCCGACAAATGACTCCACCCCACCTGATGTTAAGTAATGGTGAAGTCCAGACGTGAAGATAGCTGGTACAGCAGTTCTACTAGTTTACTTACAAGTCGCACTTACTTGTCAATTTACATTAATTAATAAGTAAGAACTTAAGTTTATGTTCCAGATACTAAACAAATTAAATTAAAGAAAGTAATAGGGATAGTTACGAAAACAAACTTAACGTAACCAAACCTAACCTACTTTAAGCCATATTGATGTTAAGTTGCAATGATATTCAATTACTTACTTACATATTTCGAAAGCCTATGAATTAATATGATATCGGGTAGGTTAGGTCACCTACATTCATTATATTAGGTAGATTATATAATTATGATGCTTCTTTGTACACCGAAATAATGTGCCGACAGAGTGGATATAATCATCATAAAAGCCTCCAGTTGAATTGCAAAACGTTTGCATTCCAAACAGACAACGCGTTTAGCGTGCATTTAGTTACGCTCGCTTGCCTCATCAGCGACCAACAACTAAGGTTGCCAGATGGCTGGGATATCCGAGAAAGTCCAAGAATTTGGCGCTTGTTCTTGTGTCCAAGTTATTAGATCTATTATCCCGGAAATCCCGAATACCAGTGTTTTTTTCACATTTCTATAAATACACCTCAGTTTAGGGGTGATATTAGGGGCTGTATTAATATTTGCCTTTTTTATTTTATGAGAGGTACAAATCGTAACGCACTACTTAGAATTAGAACAATAAATGGACAGGATTTGATAAACCTGCGCCTGGCATGCCAATCCTACCAACAACAGTAAATGCATTGCCCGCCCGAATAGGCGCCGAATGACTGACACGCACTGAATACCTATGTCAATTGAGCAACTTCTTTCAAACTCATGAAAATGTGTCTATAGCATATGTATAACTTGCAATGAGGTTCACATGGCGACCGTGGCCTGGAAACTCGTATGCTAAATCAAGAATGAGCAAGGCAAACAGATGTTCCTTGTTGATAAATTCGTACATCGATGTAAAAACAAAACGCTAGTGTTTACGTAATTTCTATTTTAAGCAATTAATGGATACTTTCTACATGAACAGATGTAAGTTAACCGGGTGCGGAGCTAATAATATCGCTTTTATTGTAGTTCGATGGCTTAAAGAGGGAGCTATTTTTAAATTATGAGTAAGCAAGCAACTACTTCAGTTAAAAATAGATTTGAAAAAATGCGTACCTACTTACTGAACTATAAACTGCTCACAAGTAAAGTTGTTATATGAACTATTTATCTAACTCTTGGTTAGATGATATGAAAAAAGTATTGCACAAATGACGGCATACTAAAAACAATACAAGTAACTACTCCAGCAGGGACTCTAGGTAGCGTACAGAGGGTCTACATTAAAAGTTTCCGTACTCAATAATTCACAATGGTTCGTGAAATGAAGTGAATGGCTACTCAATATAAGACACAGGGAAAGGGGTAGGCGAGTCCCTGCCCGTCGACAAAGGGAGAGGAACTCAAGCACCTAGATAATGAAACCTTTCTCGGACATTGTAACAGTGAGTGAGCACGACTCTAATTACAGCACTTTATAAGCCTCGCTTACGTACTACGTAGTTCTAAGATGCCACTCATCAGGTTATGCAGAGTTTGACAAGTCAAAGTTAAATAATTATAAACAGACCAGTCATCGGATGGGCCAACGAATGCACTCTGCCTGACACCTGACTAGCGTGGATTGAATAAACAATCAAAATATTTTTCCAGTATTTTTCTCTATAGAGTACATCAACCAAGAAATAAATGAAGAGAGGTTGGGCATAGCGGATTTTCTGCTCGAATTGGAGCGCGCGTCTGGGGAAGTAAATTCCACCTTACAGAATACAACAGTAAAATAACGCTAGCTTTTGGTAGTGTTACAGAACAAAATACAACAGTTAAATAATGCTAGCTTTAAGTGGTGTTGTGTTTCTGTCGGTGAGTAAGGTTCCAGGGCTCCACGGGGTAGGGATTGGGTCAAGGTAGGCTACGGCGCGAGTGATATTGTGTGTATCGCAAGCGTCTATAGGCTACGATGGCCGCTTACCATCTGTCAGGCGGACCATATGCTTGTTTGCCATACTTTTAACATAAAAAAAACGCACCCTTAGAATGAAAATGACCTAACTCAACATTTCCGTGATTTATAACTTGGCTACAAATCGACTTTAAAAATCATACGCTCCACAATCCTGTGGAGATAAGGAGACCAAACGATTTTTTGAAAGGGCCTTTCATTCTGGTTAGGGTGCGAGCAGTGCGGATAACACATACAGACGTCACGTCTCGCTGTCTCCGCGGTCGATCCGGTTCGATTACCAGTTGGGTCAACGTAGAAAATGAACTTTCTCATATTGCGAACCTAGAGTAGTCTTAGTATTGTGGGTGGTATTAATTGCTTCAATGTACATAAACACTTTAGATATTTACTTACAAGTGTGGGACTTACAGAACAACGAAAGCAAAAAACGATATACGATTATTTTGTTACACAAGTTACAGTGTTGAAGTTTAGTATTCAAGGCTTTTGCGAACAATTCTGTTCAAAATGATTTATTATTCTTTAATATTACAATAATGCAACGGTATAATCGTTCGCCTATGACCAAGAACCAGTAATCATAAATATGAATAAAAAAGAATTCTATGCACTTTTTATGCAGTGAAGCACCTTTTTTAATGTAAGGAAAAGTACAAGCAATTCAGCTGTGTGCTAATAATACCAGTTGTGAGAATATTTTATGTGACATATCACGACGCAAACCACCACAGTTCGAAATAGACAAAGCATAATGTATTGTGTTATGACATCAATTTGCATGATAAAATTTTGAATATTTATAAAGCAATGCATGCACTATGTATGGCAATCCAAGCGTAGCAACAACATTTGTTACTGAACTGAAAGATATAAAAACGCTATGTTAATTGTAATGTTGTTTAATCCATCAAGATAGTATGGAATACCTACTTATCCCTTGCGAAAAAGTGTTAACATTTTAATTAAATCGCGATATGAATCTTTATTCTGTCACCTAATGTTTCTTTCATAAACGCTAACAACGATGATTGTTTCAAAAGTTGGCTCGTGCGAGCTTTATATGCCGTCTCGTATTGTGTGCAAATTGCATGTCACACGGCTAAATACTTTGGACTTACAAGCAACTTGCAAACAAGGATGCCATCAGGTTATTGTGGTATTGTAGCAAACTATGCTATTATGACAAACTTCGTGTTCCCATATAACAAGTATCGAAGTTTTCTAAATAAATATTATTTACGCTAAGTCCATAAAGTGATATAAAGCAGTATAACACATGAAGTCAAATTTCCTTATTGATGCAGTAACAAAATAGTATTTGGTTTTTAGGGTTCCGTACCCAAAGGATAAAAAAGAAACCCTATAACTGTCTGTCTGTCCGTATGTCACGGGTCTCTAGAACGTAAACGGAATGACTTCCAAAACTGAAATTTTAGTATTTTATATAAAATACTTGCCCAAAGCCGAATATTTAGTTAATAATTCAATTAATTTATTTTTCATACAGGAACAGGAGACGAAAATTTTTTTTCGTCTATACCGCAGCATTAGGACATAAATATAGTTATCATAAAAACATAACTATAGTTATCACTATTTTTTATTTACAATATAGAAGAAATGGGGAGCCATCAAAGTTGTCATTTTAAGACCATTTTTGTTACGAAGTCTATCTTATAATCTAAACCTTAAGCTGTATTTAAACAACAAATACTTAAAACGCCGATTCATAATGTACTTTGGAAGTTGTGAAGAAAACAAACAAATGATTTTCCTTTTTCGATTTGTTGTAAGGAACCCTTTGTGTGCGAGTCCGCCTCGCACTGTGTCGGTTTTTGTAATTACAAATGTAGGTCATGTTATTTTTGAAGACAAGTTGACTCTTTGTAAATCTTCAGTTTCTCAGTTTAAACTGGCAACCCTACTTAAAACAAGAGTTCTGTTTTGTGAGTTTGCAATTTTTTTACAGAACCGCTTGTGATCGCGTTACGTGATTAAGAGAAAGAAAGAAGAACATTCATATTAAAGTCTACTCGTGTACTTTATTATGCTTATGATTTATCATGCATGCAGTAAAAAATAATGATTCTGATCAGAGTAAAAAACGGGTTTCGTAATTACTGTTCCCATATTTTTATAGGTCGTGACGCGTGTGTGACGTATTGAGTTTTTGACATACTCTCCAGCGTCATTGTGAGTTCGTGAGTATCTATACTTATAATAAATCTGTAGAGAGGTCAATTCTGTACATGAAATATATTTTCAAAATAACTATCAGGGGATGATTAGTGATCGATACTGATGCCAAAAATGCAATCAGTAAAATTTTTGTCTGTCTGTGTGTATGTTCCTTATAGAAACAAAAACTACTCGACGGATTTTAACGAAACTTGGTATAATTATTCTTCATACTCCTGGGCAGGTTATAGTATACTTTTCATCACGCTACAATCAATAGCAGCAGAGTAATGAAGGGAAATGTTGGGAAAACGGGAGAAGTTACTCCATTTTTTAAGCTTCCGTCGCGTATGCAGCCTGAATGGTTAAAGTTACATAGAAATCATGTATCACGGAAATATTTTACATAAAATTTTCTAAAAAATATCCCGCAACAGTATATGTCTATCTTTTATGGTTGAC